GATTTAGTAAACCATTCGTGAATTATTGAACACACTACTACTGTTTTCTTTAATAATTATGTATTTAGATTTAAGAAGGGTCCTACTTAAAATTTTGCGTGAACAAATCTTGAATGTTATGGAGCTCCGTAGCTGCAACTATCGGATATCTATATCTATATATATATTATTCAAAGGTGACTGACTGACTGACTGACATAGTGATCTATTAACGCACAGCCCAAACCACTGGACGGATCGGGCTGAAATTTGGCATAAAGGTAGATATTATGACGTAGGCATACGTAGGCATCCGCTAAGAAAGGATTTTGATAATTTCCACCCCCAAGGGGGTAAAATAGGGGATGAAAGTTTGTATGGAACTTTGTCAGTTTTAAACCGATCGGGTTGAAATTCGGTGTGCAGGTAGACGTTATGACTTAAACATCCCCTAAGAAAGGATTTTGATTATTTTCACCCCCAATGGGGTAAAACATGGGATGAAAGTTTGTCTGACACTATGTCAGTTTTCCACAGATCGGGTTCAAATTCGGCAAGTAGGTAGATGTTATAACTTAAACGTAACTTACGTAGTTAAACGTCTCTTAAGAAAGGATTTTGATATATTCCACCCCCAATTGGGTAAAATAGGGGATGAAAGTTTGTATGAAACAGTCTGTTTTAAACCGATCGGGCTGACTTTGCATGTATAAAGTTAGTATGACATAAGTATCCCCTAAGAAAGGATTTTTATAAATTTGGTAGATGAAATAGAATCCCTCAGTGGATGAAAAAGGAGATGAGAATTTGTATAAATCGTCTTAGCTACCTATTGAATTATTGAATATTATAGAATCTAGAATCATTGAAACTTTTTGAGTTACATTCGGTAAAACGACGATTTATGGTAGTTTTTATCACAGAAGTCCCACGAGAACGAGAACTATGCGTTAAAGCCTCGGGACTCTCTACCTCTTAACCACTGAACTTATTTTAGAGAGATTCTATACAACAATAGTCGATAGAATAGATTTTATCACTAAAACCTTACGGAAACTGAAACTGTACGGGTAAGATCCCAGCGGTATTATTTATTTTTTGAAACCACGATAAATCATTTCACAGGCACTGAATTGATTCTGTTGAATTCTGTAAGTCATTATTCTACGCGGACGAAGTCGCGGGCAACAGCTAGTACTTATAATAAATCTGTAGAGAGGTCAATTCTGTACATGAAATATATTTCCAAAATAACTATCAGGGGGTGATTAGTGATCGATACTAATGCCAAAAATGCAATCAGTTAAATGTTTGTCTGTCTGTCTGTAGGTACCTATGTTCCTTATAGAAACAAAAACTACTCGACGGATTTTAACGAAACTTCGTAGTTTCGTGTAATTATTCTTTATACTCCTGGGGAGGTTATAGTATATCCTGTAGACTTTCCATCACGCTACAATCAATAGGAGCAGAGCAGTGAAGGGAAATGTTGGGAAAACGGGAGAAGTTACTCCATTTTTTAAGCTTCCGTCGCGTATGCAGCCTTTACCTGTCGTGTGTCTAAACGTGGATCCGAGACACATTTTTTTTCTATTGTGTCTCATATCGGTGCATTCACGTGGTTAATGGTAAAAGCTACAGCGAAATCATGTATAATGGAAATGTTCTACATAAAATATCTAAAAAATGTTCCATAAAAGCATAAGTACCTATGTCCATTTTTTATGTTTGACTCACAATGGCACGTGTAACTACCGATAGCTTAGCAGTTCGGAGCTTTCTGCTTATAGTTGTTTACTCACCTTTATAATACTCTCACTTATCCATAATTAAAAAAAAACATTATTAACTATTTCATAAAAAAAATATATCAGAAATCGGTATAGAAACACCAAACTGCGACTGCACGGTTGGTGCGGTGGCTGGGCAACCGGCTGCCGTGCAACGTGTCGCGGGTTCGATTCCCGCACGGAACAACACTTTGTGTGATCCACAAATTGTTGTTTGGGGTCTGGGTTTGATGTGTATGTGAACTTGTATGTTTGTAAACGCACCCACGACAACAGGAGAAAATCCTAGAGTGGGGCAACGTTTTTTTTAAAGAAAAAGTAAAGAAAAGAAACTTATACATGAAATAGGTACGCTAAGTGATCGCGCCCGTCGCGCGAGAATGCTGAATCATGCTATATGGATTGTTTTTGTGTAAGTAACGGTTGCCGCGCTCGACGCGGTATAGTGGACTTTCAATGACTTCTCCCACCTTGGGTTAGGCGAGAGAGTGTCAGACTCTTACTGACTAAAAACCACCTTGTTCCAACCAGCCACGTTAGGCCTTCCGCGGCTCCGTATCGGCCATCAGCCCTTCTGGTGGTCTGATGGCTCTTTGAGGCGCGCGCGGAACGCGACGCGCCGTACGCACGGATCTGGTTCTGGTCTACCGAGCTACCCTTGCCGCCGCAGACCCGCAGTTACGGTGGCCGGAGATCGTCGTGCGATCTCCGACGCCCGGAGTGTCTCCTGCGACGGGGGCGTAAAGAGGCTCGTTCCCTCACGCACTCCGCCTCTTCCTTGACTAGCATAACTGCTTCGCAGGAGGAGACGGCATCCCAATCCCCCTCGCTCCGAACCACGGCCTGCACCAGAGCCGGACGCGAGAGGTCACCGTCGCCGACTACATTCCTGAAGACACGGCGATGTTCAGCCCACGCAGGGCACACCGCCACCGTATGCTCTACCGTGTCCCACGGGCGGTCCTCGCAGTGACAACACCCGGGCGTTTCCTCCCGCCCAATCCGAAACAGGAACATACCGAACCTCCCGGGTCCAGTTAGCACCTGCGTTAGGCGGTAGGTGAGGACGCCGTAGCGTCTCTCAAGCCACTCCTCATAGAGGGAACTTACCGCTACAATGACAGCGAGCCCAGCCCAAGTTTAAACTTAAGAGATTAAATGTCGATTTTTGGTATCTATAATTTAAAATTGACAGTTTCATATAAACTTTCATCTCCTATGTTATTCATTTGGGGGTGGAATTGAGCAAAATCCTTTCTTAGTGGATGCCCAGGTCATAACATCTACCTGCATACCAAATTTCAGCACGATCCGTCCAGTAGTTAAGGCGTCGCGTTCATAGATCACTATGGCAGTCAGTCAGTCAGGGGTGTTCCTGAAGTCGACGATCAAATGGCACGAGGTGGTCGGCAAGGTTTCTACAGGGAAATATTTAAAAAATTCCAAGTCAGATAGTTTTTAAGTGACAACGACTTATGTGTTAGGTATCCACGTAAAAGTACCTACACCTGTGCCAGTCTTTTGACTCGTAGCTACAATTCTTTATTTTTTGTCTATATTTTTTATTACGTTATTTATTCTGCTTCAGTATTATTGATTCATAAATTCTGACCTAACTGCTTTAGTTTGGAAAAGAATGTCGATTTTTGACGAACCAAGTGTTCTTAATAAATGGCGCTTTGGGTACATTGGAATAGTCAAAATAAATTTTTCAAAAGGAAGTTTTATTGAAAAATACCCAAGGGGTAAAATAGGGGATGAAAGTTTGTTAGTTTTAAACCTTTCGAGTTGAAAGTCGGCCTGCAGAGAGATGTTATAATATAGACATCCTTTAAGGGTGCAGTCTAGGCCACATTGGCACGAGTTATTTTACGGCGACGCTTCTATCGAGCACTGATGCATTTCCAAAACTGGGCCCTCGCTGGACCTTAAGCCGTTGAAGACAAAATTATCAGACAGATCCGAAATATTATACAGTATAACATCTATTTAATCCATAACGACACCGAAAAATACGGAGGCTTCAAATTGGTATAAAAGTCCCACTAATATTAATAATGCGAAAGTTTGTAACTTTGTGTGTACTCAACCACGTCTAATCGGCTGAATGGATCGGTGATGTTTAGAACAGAGGTAGATTGCATGATGATGATCCTATGATGCCACTTTTTAGGTAGGTACCGACTTTAAAAAAGGAGGAGACTATTTTCGAATGTTTGATTTTATCCCGATGGAAAAGCTGAAAGTGAATAGATACGATTTAGTAGTATTTATAAAATTAAATGAAATGGAGGTAACTAATCACACAATACAAGTGTGCCCACACATGACCCACGAAAAACAAATTTTTAAAAAGACCTACCTACTTATTTTGTTCATCAATTTGCTGAGTTGCAAAATCTATTTAAGTACTTTAGGAAATACTTAGCACGAACTATAATACGATATTATGGTGGTGGGGGTAAATTCGCACATTGCAAGTATTTTCTGATTATTCTATGATTATAATTATAATCATATTATAATCAGAATATTTGAATCATGTCTATTTGAGAGAAAGTTAGCTTGAAGTCAAATTAAAAAAAATACACAATGCGCGTATCAATATAGTACCACAACATGTCTGACCATGGTTTGTGCTGGGTAATAATTACAGTAATGTTATAAATGTCAAAATAACTTTTATCTTTTTTCTTATAACTTTTGTCTTTATCGTCTTTACATCTAAAAATCTAAACTAAAAATAAATGTAGACAAGTAAAACAAAAATTAAATACTTACTTATTTTATTTTACAGTCTTACTCTTACTGGAAGATAAATAGTATAAATAGATGAGAAAAGTATCGGATGTACATTTAATAAATGCATCAGTAGCAGAAGTTATTGAAAGAATACAATTTATATTTATATAATGTATTATTTATGGAAACCATATTTTTGCATGACACTAGAAATATTACTTTTATGAGTATTTATAAAACACAGTTGAGTAATTTATGTATGATACATAACTAAGTTATTTATAGTAAGAAAAAGAAAATTATATAATTGTGAATATACAAAGAAGAAACAGATTGAAATTTAACATCTTAATAAAATAATTAAATATTTTTACTCAATTTGTCTTGTTACAGAATCAAATTGTTTCAGTTTATGGTCATCAATATTAGGTCTAACTTCGTAAGTACAAATAGTTACTCCGTGTCTATGCCCTGGAGTCCATTCGCCTTTTAATCCAATATAATATATTTTCGTATTTTCAGCACCAAAGTTACTCGGAAATGCATTGTTAAATGTGATACCGATGAAAATGTGACAATTCTGAAAAAATAAAAAACATATTAGATACCAAAATAATTACAATTATATAAATCTGTTTTATAGAAACGGTATCTAAAGTTAAGGAATCTTACTTTGGAGAATATTCCAATACACCTTGGCTATCCTTCTGCAATTCAAAAATTTGATCTGGCTCTAGAGACACATCATCAAATGTCATATTGGGTTTATTCTTAAATCTGAAAGTTAGGCCTTATTAGTTTCTTATCAGAAAGTGCTTGGTTTCTTTGGGTAGATCAAATTTTATTATACCCACAATCTTAACTTTGCAGGATGAGAATCAGAATCTTCTGCTGATATTTTGATACCTTTAAGTTTCACATTCCCTGTGAATGGTATATTAAATAATAATTCTTCATCAGCATCACTTTCAACAAACTGAAAAATTAAGTGTGCAATATAAGTACAATAGGTACCTAGTTAAATTAAAATGCGATTTTATACCTGGGAACAACAATTGAAAATGGTTTTATATTTAAATATTTTTTTTTAAAGTAAATTTAAAACACGCTTCCAATAATATGTTCTTATCATCGAAGAAATAGACCTAATTAATGAGCCAAAACTTGATATTTTTATTGGTGGGTATTCCAAGGTTCCATCAGCCACCTTTCAGACCAAGTCCCGAAATATTGTACGGTCATCTAATCTATGTTTTGTATTGTATGCACATAAACATCCGGCTCAGTGGGTCATCCTACAACACCAGAGTCGTTACTAATGTGTTGCTGGCTTTTTGGAGGGTTGCCTATATTTTTAACACCCTTTTATGAAACATGTGTATAACTATGAAACATGACATTTTTAACATGAGGTAATCCGTCTACCTACTGGTTTGCTGCCCTATCCCATAAAGAAACAATGGAGTTGAGATTCCAATATTATCAAATTAATAAAAGAAGCACTTACATGAGTTGTATCAAGTCTCTTGTCCCATGGTTTAAAAACAGTTTTCCCTGAGCCTTCGATGGTTTCATTTAAACATTGTAAATTTTCCTTATCAATTTTTTCATATAGGTTATACTGAAAGCCGACTTCGTCGGAACTGCTGTGATCATGATCATGTCCATGGCAATGATGATGGGACATTATTGATACTTCTAAATGCAACAAACAGTGCAAAAATGTTAAAAGAACCTAAATAGATATATAGAACCTCGAAAAGGACCGCGATTCTATGTATCGATTGCAATCGTAGAAATAACAATTTTGTATGTCATCGTACCTTTTCAATGATTTACACACAAAGTAGGTACCTACCTATGTACAAACAGCTGAGCCAAAGCCAAACCAATAATAACCATAGACATGTAATTCATCTTTATGGCTGCTGCAGTCCACAGAGTATTTTTGTATCTGCAGTCTGCAGGTAAAGTGAAGCTCATTCACATCTCTATGGATATGGAATCAAAGAAAGTGTTTCAAACGTAGACAGAGAATAGAGGTAGACATGCTCTTTGAATAATAATAATTGCAAGGGTGAGATGACAGATTAGCAAAATGTGTATGTGTGAGCAGGACATAGCATAAATTTTTTGTCTCTATTTGCGTATCGGTTTTTGTTGTTTGGCATCACTGGTCATTGATGGCAAACAAACTGTGGTGTCAAGATATTTTCGTTGTTAAAAACTGTGAAACGCATACTTTGTGTAATTTGTGACTTTATTGATATTTTAGAAGGTAATATTTAGTGTCTAGTGATGGTGAATTGCTGTATAAATGGCTGTAAAAGTCGTAGTGAACGAAATCAGCCAAACATAACCTTTCATCGGTAAGTAGCATTTTTTACCTATTACAGCCAATAAATCAAAGAAATATTGTACTCAAGACAATTTTGTGTCAATATTAAGCGAAATTTATTGATAATTTCATCTAAAAATACAATAAATTCCTAACTTGATTTTTGTACTAACCGACCAAAGTGGGAGACATTTTATGTTAGGTTGTTATCTATGTTACTACGTGTCATTTGTTAATAGTCGGATAATACCTTGACAGGGATACCAGCACTTAATTATATTTACCTCACATTTAATTTTTACTTTTCTTTTAGATTTCCGAATGAACCAATTTTAAGAAAAAAGTGGACTGAGTGCACGGGTCGAATTAACTGGCATCCAAGTCGTCACTCCCGAATCTGCTCCCGACATTTTGAAGCTAGTTGCATTCGACAGAAATTAAATAGTACTCACTTAAATCCTCTTTCGATACCGACTCTTTTCATTCAGGTAAAGTAAATTTATTATACACCACAATTTGATTTACACGTATACCTAATTAACTTTGATACTTAAACATTTGTTGTGACTTTATTTCTTGTGACACAGAAATAATATTTTAAACATTATTTGTTGTTATTACTGATGACTTTTTTAATATTATTATTACATGGAATATATATTAATAGTAATTTAATGAATTATGAACTTCATGTATTAATTATAGTCTAAGAAATGTATAATGGAAAGTTGAGCTACATGGAATTAATTTAAATGGAATATACATAAACCTAACTAACTGTGCCCGCAACCTTGTTAGCGTGGACTACAGGATTTTTAATTTATATTTTCTAAAATGAAAGTGGCCTATGTTACTCCTTATTAATCAGCTATCTGCCAACAAAAAAGTCCCGTCAAAATCGGTCCAGCTATTTCAGAGATTAGCCCGGACAAGCAGACAAAAATTGTAAAAAATGATATCTTGGTTTATTTACCGTATATATATTCATGTGCAGGTAGTAAAAAGTTTATTCAATATTAGTTCAGTTATTTCAATATTACAAAAAGACGCTCCAATTTTATTTATATGTATAGATAGATTATTAAGCTACCAAACGACGTAAAGCAGATACTGTAAAACTAACTTATTTGAAAAAACATTAATTATTGATTATTTTAGCAGTTAATCGGACATTCGTGTCCTTTTTGTTTCAAATTTCAGGTCCAACCGGCTTTAGATCAACCGAGTACCTCTAAATGTGATACTTTGGGGGTTGATGTGCAAGCAAAGGATTATTTGGTACTTACTTATTAAAATGTTTTTTTTTTAAATCTAAAAGTCGTATATTCAGTATTTTATGTATAGGTACTTATTTATTTGGGTGATAAATATTACAAATTTAAAACTATAATCATATTTTTCAGCTTGACGGTTCATCCATTACGGATAGTCATGGTCACCTATCTTTACCATTAGAAGTTGCTATGGAAGTAGAAATAGAAAGTACTATGGTGAGTTTATTCTTGTTCAGTCTTTATTATGGAAACTAAATCTTGTAAATCTTATACTGCGCAATTCCTGCTGTTTTAGCTGTGTATGTGTAGCCGTTTATCTACTTAAACATTACGTTACCATGTGATTTAAATCGTTAAAGATGTAGAGATATTTTATCATATTTAATATTTAAGGTAGTTGTAAATAAGTATTTGTTGTCAGACATATTTTTTGTTATATTTCAGACGCAAGAAATATTACCTATAGTGGCAGCGCCGGAACTTGAGATGACTCCTCGTAAAAAGAAGTTAATTAGCAAATTGAAAAAGAAACCATATTAAGTGATAATAGAAGGAAAAAATTAGCAGCTTTAAGATCTAAGACCTGGCGTTTGCAAAAGAAAACTGCTGAACAATCTACTATAATTGAGGAATTAAAAACTCGTTCATTAATCAACCAGGAAGCTGCTGACCTGCTGTCTTCGATCGATGCAACCAATCGAGATTTCTTAAAAAGGTTTTTGTGTAAAAATATAGCTGAACGGAAATACTCGCCTGAACTGCGGAAATTTGCCTTAAGTCTCCACTACATCAGTCCCAAAGCTTACAGCTTTGTTAGGAAACAATTTAACACTTGCTTACCTCATCCGCGTACACTATCGCGATGGTACCAATGCATCGATGGAAATCCTGGTTTTTCCACAGAATCTATAAAAGCTGTCAAATTTTTACATGAAATAAATACAAAAAAAAACACGTCACACAAAACAATATGCGCCCTAAGTTTTGATGAAATGGCAATTAGAAAAGGTTTAGATTTTGATGGCAAAGATTGCATAGGATTTGTTAATTTTGGAAATAACGTTAATAACGATCAATTAGCTAAAGATGCGTTAATTTTTATGCTAACGTGTGTAAATGGATCCTGGAAAATACCTTTAGGATATTTTTTAATCGATGGGATAAGCGCTGAACAAAAGGCCAGTTTAGTAAAAAATTGTATCGAAATATTAACTCAGGATTGCGGTATTGAAATTATCTCACTAACTTTCGATGGATGCCCGACAAATTTTTCTATGGCCAAAGTTTTAGGCTGTAAATTAGACGGTGATAACATTGATCCTTCCTTCACCGTCGGCAATAATAATATTGTAATATTTCCCGACCCTTCACACATGCTGAAGTTAGTTAGGAATACCTTAGGAGAAAAGGGTCCAATAACAGACTCACAAGGTCGTGTTGTGTCATGGAATACGTAAAATTACTGGTAGAGCTCCAAGACAACGAAGGTTTGCATTTAGGTAACAAATTAAATAAATCACACATAAATTTTTACAAACAAATCATGAAGGTCAAGTTGGCAGCCCAAGTAATGAGTGAATCCGTTGCAAATGCTATTCAATTTTGTAATATAGAACTCAATATTGACGAATTTAAGAACTCTGCTGGTTGATTTTATTCAAAAAATTAATAATCTATTTGACGTAATGAATTCAAGGAATCTGAAAGCATATTCATACAAAAAACCACTATCTGTCAATAATTTTTCGCACATCAAGCCATTTTTAGATGAAATGATTTTATATTTGAACAATTTAAAATTAGGAGACAAAAATATAATGTCTTCAAATAGAAAAACCGGATTTTTAGGCTTTCTAATTTGTATTAAAAGTGTAATTAATTTGTACGAAACTCAAGTGATAAATAATAACCTTCAGTTTTTAAGCACTTACAAACTAAGTCAAGATCACTTGGAGTATTTTTTTAGTGCCATTAGAGCCAAAGGAGGGTTTAACAACAACCCTTCTGCTAGACAATTAAAGTCGGCATTTAAAAGAATGTTAGTTCATGGGGAAATGAAACACATTACGTCAGGAAATTGTATACCGTTACAACATATAAATATTTTAACATTGACCAAACCAGAAATAGCAATTAACAAAACGTCAGAAAAAAATATAATGATTGATAATGTCGCCGAAAGTAGTAATTCAGAATATTTTGATGAAGTTTTAATGAAGGATCACGATTACTTAACTGATCCAAGTCTATTGACGGAATTTTCTAAACATGTTATAGTATATATTGCTGGATTTGTCGTAAGCAAACTGAAAAAAGAGCTTTCGTGCGAGGAATGTGTGTCTGCTATTATATCAGATACTAAATATGCTAGTCTACAGTTACAAAAAGACAAAGGTGGATTATGTTACCCCTCAAAAGATGTTGTAAAAATTTGTGAAATTTGTGAGATAATATTTCGTAAAAATCGAGGTCTAAATAAAAAAAATGTTCTTATTGTGCTCATGCAAGAAAGTCTTAGACGTTGTTTGGGCTTAACATTCTTTTTTAAAATATCACATTTTAACAGCCAAACTTTCCTTGACTGTCACTATTCGCTCTTAATTAAGGCTATTAGTTTGAAATATTTCAAAGTTCGTATTCATTATGCAACTAAAAAGCTTTCAGAAAAAACTGATAAGGTCAGAAATTTTTATAATAAATTAGTTTTATTTAAAGGTCAGTAATCATATAACGGTGGATCCATAAACGGAAAAACGCTTGACGCCTTAAGAATTATTGTATTATGTATATCTTCTGTATTTCTATTTTATTATGTATTTTGTTATTCAAAGTTTTGATTAAACTATAATTTATACACAATTATTTTTATTTGCTTCTAAAATTATGCCACATCTATAATAAGCGCGCGAACTGAATTCTTTCAGGGCCTGTGACAAAGCGCGTAAATAAATGTGTTAATTATGATTTGTCTAACTATACTATTGAGCTGAAATATAATAAAATTACAATTACAACTCATTTGTTTTCACGTTTCATCTTCACCCTGGCCGCATTCAGTATTCGCTCGAGTGCTGTTTTATTTTCCACAGTACTGTTAACTAATAATCTTACAGCACTTGATTATAAAGTTTTGCTATGAGAGTAACCTGAAATGTGAAAATAAAAATTACCTGTTTCATACAAAAATGCATGAAACTGATGTTTTATTTCCTATCAAGTATATATCAAAACGTTCCCCTCTTTGAGGCGTGATTGGAAAGACCTTACGGCGTCCTTACCTTCCGCATGACTCAGGTTCTCACCGGACACGGCAAGTTCGGGAGGTACCTGCTGCGGGTGAAGGCGGAGGTGACGTCCGGGTGTCGGTACTGCGCTGACCACCCAAAGGACACGGTGGAGCACACCGTGGAGGTGTGTCCCGCTTGGGACGAACATCGTCGTGTCCTCGTGGGGGCGATCGGCGGCGGTGATCTCTCGCGCCGGGCCCTGGGCCTGAGGAGGGGTGGCAGGCGGTCGCGTCCTTCTGCGAAGCAGTAATGCTAGCAAAGGAGGAAGTCAAGCGCTTGAGATAACGGCGTTTGCGTCTCAGACGCGACCGTCGCCGGGGATCCCGATCCCGATTTCCGACCTCCATAGCGCGAGCTTGCGGGTAGAGAGCAATGGGTAGCTCGCCGCCTGACCGTCTGGTAGTGATCCGGACCAAGCCCAAGTCGTGTATGGCGTGCACTGTTCCCGCGCGTCTCATAGTTTGTCAGCAATTAGTACGGGCCCAAAGGGCCGAAGCCTACTGGGGACTGGGGCGAATCTGAAAGGGCATGCTCTGACCCCAGTACCACAGGCAAGAAGGAACGGAGTGGGATTTTTTAGTCAGTAAGAGTCTGACACTACCTCTCGCTCCACCCAAGGGCGAGAGAAGCCATTTGATGATTTTAACCCATTTTAAAAAAAAACATCAAAATGTTATAAATACCCGCCCCTTGAAAGTGTAATGACTATTTTATTAATTGAATGTCTCGTACGTAACGAATAAAGTACTAGATTACCCACACGATGGGGTAAAAATTTAAGTATGGCAATATTAATTACACATAGCTGTAGTAACGTACTTACGTCAAACTATCGCTATCTCATACTGCATACGCTGAGGACTTGTCTACCTATATTCTCTGTCTACGGTTTCAAATGAACGCGGCACACGCAGAAAGTCTCACCGCTCGCTACAAAATCTAAGTGAACAGCTAGTACCGACTACATCACCGAGCGATACTGACCCGCGCGGCGCGCGCTAGTTCCTGAACAGCGCGAGAAACCGCATGGTTCAAGTTCTACAAATCTGAACCTGTCTGTACCGATACCGAGTTCAGCAGTTCATCCACGCGAGTTGAGACTGATATACGCACGTGCGCGACCGCTCCGCTCGTTCACCTGAACTTAGCCTAAAAAACGAATATAGATGGGATGCTACAAGGCGGGGTTGGAGACTCTATTTATGTCGTAGAGAGTACGAGTATACTCCGTGCTCTATTTTGATCAAATGTGTCAAAAGTACCATTTTATTAGTAAAAACTTCACGTTTACACCTTTGATAAAAAGCGTCCTTGATAAAAAGGTGCACAAGACAAGTGCACACTCCAAAGATAATATTATTTTAGCACATTTCGTTAGGTCATCAGGTGGCGGTGGTTGGGCAACCGACAGCCATGCAACGTATGGTTTGATTTGATTCCGCTCAGAACAACTCTTAGTGTGATCCAAAAATTGTTAGTCTGGGTGTCACATTAGTACCCCCGACCAAAAAGTATAATAAGTGACATGAGCAAATCCTGGGTAGGGCAAGGATATTAAAAAGAATTTAAATTAAATAGAGTAAAAAAAATAAAAGATGACTCAATGACAGACAGGACAAAATAATTAAAATGCAATGAATCATGCGACATCTTACGGGATAAAAAAGCAGTTTCTCACCCCATTATTATCTTGGCCATAGAGAAATAGATTTAGTTTAGAGGGTTTAGAGACAAATGACAGTAAGTCGCAAGTCGCCATAGAGTATATGGATGGGCTATGGGAGTAATGACTATTATCATTTCATTATCAATTCCAATTGTAGTGAAATAATCTATTCTGATACTTGATTTCTGCTAAATAAAACATCAAATACAATATACAAGAAATATATCTGTGTGACTGTGTTACATAAATGAGATTTCATCGTGGTTGTTGAAAGTCATTATTGATAACAAAATTACGGCGATGTCTTTGTCAACTAATTTCTGTTTAGGTTTCCTTACAATAGTTGTTACTTGTATTATTTTATCCAACAATAACAATGTACAAGCTAGTGAAAATGATGCCGAAAGCATTTCAAAAATTGGACAAGGTGTAGGTCATATTATGAACATTTATTACTGGTAAGGTTATAATTTTAATTTTATATACCTAGTCTATCGTATATCGATCCCTTTTAGTGTAAAATTACATGAAATATTACTTTAATTTCTTACAGTTACTCTTGCGGATACAGAAAAGTTTTTGAAGACTATGCGGGTATAATTCAACAAAAATACCCAGAAATATCGGTCATTGGAGCCAATTATGATCCTCCAGGTTTAAATATGTATCTATCGCGATTGATTGTGAGTAAATCTGAGTTAATTTGAAAAAAAAATCACATTTGTTATTATTCTCATATGTAAAATATTTTCAATAATGAGTTGAAAACCTATGTGTACCTACTAAATTCTTATCAAGTTATTTAAACAACACTGTCATCATTAATATAGGTATATTATTGCGTTTTAAGTAACTTAATTTTTACAATACCTATCTTATTTATGTTTCAGGGTTTTGGCAAGATGATACTGATCATGTGCATACTTAGTGGAGTAAACATATTTGCTTGGCTGAACAAACCACAGCCTGCTTGGTGGAGTTGGTGCCTTGAGAACAAACTGTATGCATGCATGATGATGTTTTTCTTAGCTAACATGGTTGAAGGCCAGTTGGTGTCATCTGGTGCATTTGAAATATCCTTAAACAACATTCCATTGTGGTCCAAGTTAGACACAGGAAGAATCCCACAGCCACCTGAGTTGTTTCAAATAATTGACAATACATTGCAGTTCTCAAAAATGGAATTGTCCAATAATAACTTTGTGCAATAATAATTTCAATGTTGCAATTTTGCATATTGTTTGTAAATGGGACTGAGGTTTTTAAGATAAATAGGGTGAGATATAGAGAATTCAAAAATTTCATGTAAAAATAGGCAATAAAGTTCAGATAATTTATTATTGAAAATAATTTGTTAGGTACAATTCTATTATGCTTCACAAGGCTTACACAAATTTTTAAGCTATCTATTGTGAACATGTTGTTTCTGAAGTATAATGTGCTTATACATCTATCCATACTCTCTTGACCACAATAATGGTAACCTGGTTTAGAACTCACATCATTGATACTGTAATATATGTAATAATAGTAGAAAATTACATATACATAAAGAATTAGGTGCTATTTGTTACATTTTTCAATATTTGAAGGCCCTCTTAAAGCAAGCAAATAATAATAATAGTGATTGTTTATCTCAAGTAGTATAATTTTAATCTGTCAAACGCCAAGCGGTCACCGGTGACCGCGACCTATTGTTCTTTAATTATGTCTATAAAACCGGTACTCGACGAGTTAAGCATGTTTCACAACTACTGTGACTCATAATTTAGCAATATTAATTTCCAATTATGTTTGTCTCTAGTAAATAATCATTCAGAATTTAGTATGTTTAGGCACATCTGTTATTGTTACAAAAGAACCAGTTAATTGCAATAATTGAATAAATTAATATTTAATGAAGGCATTTGTTCTAAGTTTAGTTACTTTTTATGACTAGAATACATAAAAGCAATTTTTCTTTACAATATGTTAAAACTTTGTTTTGCATTATATGGTGCATATGAACCCTAATAGTCCATGTAATTACTATGTTATAAACATCCACTAAGTTAGATACTTTAAATATTCTGGTAAGTAGATGTTTATAATATTGTGATTTTTTGTGACTCACTTGTTGCATTTAGTATAATACAATTGTGTTAAAAATAACTTGTATTTTGAGTGAAAAGCTTACCAATAAATAATTTTTGTAAAGTCACAGTATCATGAAAATAAAAATTTAATTAGAACTATTGCTGACACATTCATTTAGGTACATAACTTGTAAACATGTTTGTTTTTGTGTCTTCAGTAGGTATGCAATGTTTTGAAGTATTGTTTAATATTGTTAATAGTACAAAATATTCTATTTTTATTAACTGAAGCTGTTCAAAATGTCTTAAATATCTAAAATCACTTAATATACTAATTAATAATATTTTTTTTTATTTATCTAGTCAGGATTTCAGTAATGTTCAACAAAGATAACATGTCCTTACTTTGTGAAACCCTATTTAAATAAAAGTTTAAATTAAAATACACTTGTTTTTTATTTCATAACTATCTTCTGCTCGCGACTTCGTACGCACAACCCAGATTTTTTCCAGTTCCCGTTCGTGATTTTTGGTAAAGAGTTAAAAAAGTATTGGATAAAAAGTATGCTGTCTGTCTCCTGGATCATTAAACCAATTTTCGTCCAAATAGATTTAAGCCGTTTAAGCTATAAATAGTGTAACTAACACGACTTCATACAGGGTGGAATTTTGTATTGCCACCTGAAGGGGAAAAATTGTACTCAAGGAAAACATTATTTTATTATTGAAAAGAAATAAAACTGCATTCAAAGGTTTTTTAAAAATTAGTTTGACGCACACGGTAATCGAACCGACTAAAATCTGTAAAAGTTGCACTTAGTTTTAGTGACAGATCAATAAGCGCGACTTAAAATTGAAAAGTAGTTCAGGCGTAAGCCATTAAAATCATTAAAAAAGTATTAGAAACCGCATTTAATTTACAAAATAATAATACAATTATTAAAAGGTGGTACTTAAGTTACAAAGTATCTAAAAAAAAGTACTTAACCGATTCGTTGCGGATGGCACGACACGTGCAATTTTTTTACATATGGCGTATGAGATGCGTTTCGTGTCATTTTTAAATGTCTTATAACTCGCTCAAATCGAAATTTCTTGAGGTGCTTCTTGAACTAAACATTAATCTTTTTGAATGCGGATCATTATTATAGACTTCGTTTCTGGAAATAATGCAAATCAGATAATTCCAGGGGTTGACAACCTCGATAAGTTGCATTACGATTACTGCGATTAGGTACGTATTAATGAAATGCATTATTTACCTCGAATTATTATTAATAGCTGCATCTATTTTTCTTATCTTATTTAACTTATCGGGCTATTATAAATATAAGTAGGTATTAGATACCTAGATACATACATAAGTAGGTAGGTATTACATATAAATAATAAATGAATTTCACATTTGCTAAATCTTGTTCCGATCCCTTAAGAATTTATTTTGTAAACAAGTTTCGTAAGTCGGCTAATCGTCTCGGCAAGATTTTGGAAAATACCATATTGTGTTGTCTTACGGTTATATACGGTTATACGGATATCGGAGTGCGGAGTGAGATATTAGATCTGAGCTCTCAGATGACTCTTCTATAACTCTTTCGCCTGTAAAGACAACAAAACATAAGTAGATTTTTTTGCAGGAAAATATCTGTATCCATATTCTGCTATCATTAGGGCACTTGCCTACTACACATCGATGAAACACAACAAATGACATCAAATAATAAAAACAGAAATTAGAATCTTTATTATAACCTACAATCCCAGTATGATATGTATGTAAATCATAAAACAATACAAAAGGTTTATAACATCTGAATAAAAAAGTCACTTACCATCCATTTTCAGTGAAACACTTATATATCAGTTCAAAACCACTTGACACAAAGTAACTGACCGTTTACTTTCGATTTTGGAAGTCGACTGAATACAATTCAAGGTAAACAAAAAAAGAGCATTTTTTTCTGTACATGGCTGATGCCACAATAGGCGTGTCATCAACTGATCTGGCGCTTGACACGACTGTCGTGTCACGAAATATTTGTTCGTCGCCACGCATAAAAGTGCACCAAAATGGGCGTCGCAACGAATCGGTTAACAATAAACACGTTCTACCAGTGGGTAGTTGCTTTCATAGGGATTCTTATCTATTTTAAGTTTATTCTTACTATAATAGAATATCATAATTATCAGTACTTGCCGAACTAGTGTAGATTGCGACTCATAACCGTGCCTGATTTCGGAATCTCAAACTGGATAGTCGCCGAAGTACCTCGCCTTAGAAAGTTTAATTCACATTTAATTTAAAACTATTGATTTAAGGCCTGACAGTGTTCGACATTAGCTAGGTTATTCTGTAACTTCCAATTCGAATATCGATGTGACCTCGATCGCAGTCCGCCATATGCGTGCCTATAATCTCGACCAATGACGTGCGAGAATCGATAATCGATCGATCCAGCTCACTTCGAAAGTTCTAATTGCTAGCAGTTCCTAGTCAGATAGAAAGATTGTTCGGTCATTATGATGATGAGTTAGAGCAACAAAATAACACATCTTGTAAAACTTATGCTGGTAGGAACTAAAAAACAAACAATATTAGTACTATGGAGTAGAGATTTGTCTTCTTATTATTGCCAAAAATGGATTCCAAGTATGAGTGGTCTACGTGAGTTGGGCATGGCACATGGGGCAGGAGTGTCGCAGCACTAGCTCGTGGTGCTGCGCATGCGCGGCGCAGATGGCGCAGGTCCACACGGCCTGGCCGGCGCCCAGCCCGCGCCCCGACACCGCGCACTCGGGGAACTCGCTGCTGCAGCGCGGACACGACGCCGACCTACGAATACATACCCGAACTCATCATATCAACCACAAGACGCCTACTGCTGGACATAGGCCTCCCCCAATGGCTTCCAGATGGTACCAATTCATAGTACCCATTAGCAATCAAAGTCTAATTAGACTGTAGATCAATTTTAAAATTATTATTATTAATTTATACAAGTAGGTTCAGCAATTAGAAACCGTTGTGTCAAGCGAGAATGAAAGTAGGACTAATGTAAAGTAGGAATCATAAAGATTATATATATATGTCATAAAGATTATAAATATATTAGGGTCATATTAGGATTATATAGATTAGGTACGTACCATTCAGGCATGCTGCAATCGCAATTCGGACATTCAATTTTGTTTCCCTTTGTGTTTTTGGGCTTGTATCTTGTAAATATTTCTATAGCCAAATTTTCAAATGTTTCAGGCTGTAAAAAATGTATTATAGTATTTTATTAAAACGAAATTTGTTTTTATTTAACTTAAGTTGTAGAAGGTAGATATTAAATAACTTACATCTTGAGCTTCTAGTTTAATTAAAGCCTTCGAACATAGCTCGAATGCTCGGGTTTGAATCGCTATTGATGCTATCGTACACCAGACCTGTGGGTTGGACATATTCGTCTCCATAATTAGGCACTCATTTTATTAAACCATTATTAAATAATTAAATCACGTTACATGGTAGTTGTGCCGCACTGAAAGTCAAAGTGAGAACCCTCATTACGAATAACATTGGTGTGGATAAATTACGACATAGCATTCGACCTGTGTGTGCATGGCGGGATGCAGCGCCGTGTGATGTTGCATGAGTCGCGCGGCGGCGCGCGCGGCCGGCTCGGGGCGGACGGGCCGCGCCCGCGCCCGCGCCGCGCCCGCCGCCGCCCAGTGCGCCGCGCGCGCCCCGCGCCAGCACCGCGCCGCCTCGCGGCCGCGACTGCCGTCTGACACAATGTAAAGTCAAAGTTTAAATTATTTGTTTCAATTGAAACAAAAATCCTGGTAATTCCTAATTAGTCTTTTTTTTTAAGGGGGATAATCATCGAATGACTGCTCCCGCCTGGGTGAGGCGGAAGGGAGTGTCAGACTCTTACTGACTAAAAACCACCCCGTTCCTTCTCCTGCACGTCGAGCCGGAGCCCCGGTTACCCGATAGGTTCTCCGCGACTCCTAATTAGTCTAGGAAGGCAATTTTGAACATCAAACAAAATAATAAAAATGTCAGTCTGTAGGTCAGTCCTCTAGTAAAGCTACTTGCTCGTTCCAAAGTGTAGATTCCTATGGAGAAGAACGAGTAAGAAAGGGAACTTACATACGCTTAGTTATATATTTTTTCTTTTAAAAACGTTGCCGCACACTAGGATTTTCTCCTGTGTCGTTTACAAACATACAAGTGTACATATACATGACACCCAGACCCAAAACAACAATTTGTGGATCACACAGAGTTGTTCCGTGCGGGAATCGAATGTGGGACGCGTTGCGCGGCAACCGGTTGCCCAGCCACCGCACTAACCGTGCAGTCAAAACATTGTTAGTTTAAATTATATAAGTACGATGCAACACCATTATTCAGATAGATCCCACACATCATCAGCTGCCCTAAACGAATTTCTCTTGGCATTTACCATTTGCGCTTGGTAGGCAGTTTCAAGGTACCAATTAAAACCTCACGACTAACGCCTACCCGGGTTGGGTTTCCCTATGCACCGTATAACAACTAGTATACGACTACTAGTTGTTTAACAATTAACAACAATAAAATACATACCGACTGAGCTTTGGCTGTACAAATGACCAGCTAGAACATAAAGCTTCTTAATCTTCAAAGGTGATGCCTTCTTCGAAGCCTCCAAATTAGCTAACTAAAAATAAAAGTATGTTAGCTTGACTAGCCATAAGATATTTGATATATCTTTGGTTTGTTTAATATCGGAATATATCAAAAATGAGTTAATATATTTTATTAACTCAACTCATGTTTAAAGTACGTACAAACGTAATAACAGTATACTAAATTGTCTTTGTATAATTAAAGCCATTGTAATGACGTGCGGGAATAATATTTCTACTCATTCAATTTCAAGTATGATATGACTCGCCTGAAACGCCATTTCCGCAGCTTGCGTCATCCTGCCGCTTTGCTTGAGTTGGATAATGCCCTGTATTGATGGCTCTTGACCGATACTGTCATTTAACTCGTTCAACAAACTTTGCTTTGTCAAGCCCACTTCCTGATGATAAAAATTGTATCAACACATCTAAACAGTACCAACTCTCTATCAGAGCCCATCATAAGGATCGTAGTATTAGAGTGATAGAGTCGGATCTCTTAAGATAAAATTGTAATAACATAAAGATATTTGGCAAACATCTAATTTACAAAAAGTGATGTGTCGTCCACAGACGGTCACATTGGCTACTATTTCATAAGTATTACGTATAATTAAATTATCATGCAGCCAAAGTATTGCAGTTAAACACTGATTTTGAACCTTACAAATTATTGTAAAACAAAACAATAAGATTATGAAACAAACCTTTCTCGGTGACGTGGTAAATAATTTAGACAGAGACTCGTTATCCTCAAGTGCCATATAACATTTCTTCAGACCTTCAGTATTGTTTGACATGGTGTAATACTCCAGTGCACTAGACCTGTACAGATATACAATAGTACCTACAGTATACACAATAAAGTCCCCGACCGCATCTTCTATCCATTTGTGCGTGATAAACATAAACTGCTGAACATATTCTAATGTGGTTTTCATCAGTAGATAGTTTCTTTAAGAAAGTTTAAATGTGGTAGTGTACTTATTTCAGTTATTTGTGACGATTTGAGCATCAATGGCAATATCCTCAAGGTAGAAGCTAGTAAGTATATTTAATCCTACGAGTACCATGTCAGTCACCGGTGCCTGACGTTAGTGGAGGTTTGACTTTCACTAGCAGTACCTAAGTATTAAAATTAATAATGAGTTACCAATTCTGCCTATCAATATAATAATCTCCAATGTTGCTATACGCCTGTTTGACTTGCGCATCGGTTGTACTCGCAGACATCTTCAGTAGTTCGACGACGCGGAACCAATGTCCTAAGCGTTTTCGAAGGGCGATTGCTAAGTCCCTGAAATTAATTTGATTACTTAATTAAATCAAATCAAATTAAGAGAGAAGCACTACTAGTTTCAATTCGCACTGGGACGTGTGCTCATGAGTAGTGTGCGTGATGCAGTGACGTCACGCACCCAACTCCCACGTCCCACGATTGTAAATACACAAAAACGGTGGATGTCACGTCTTCGAGTAAGTTCAACACTCAGGTAAATTATAGGCGAAAAGTTACAACGCCGTGCTCCTCCTATGAAATTTTCAATAATTCAATAAGTAAAGAGTATACCAACCGTCTATCTTCATTGTGGTATATTTTTTCAGCAGCATCAAAATCTTTGAAGTATGCTAAATTTCAGCCTTTTTAAGAGCATTAGAATGTAATGCGTTCAAACGAGACACAAATTTAATTCCAGCATAATCGTTACGTCGCACAAACGCGGCTTCTGCCGTCTCAAGTGCAGATTCTGACTCGAAATTTTTTAGGGCCGCTTCTGCTAGTAACAACCTAAAACATATTTAAGTAAATGAAACTTGATGAAAATAAGAAATAAATACCCAAGATAAGTTTATCAGAAACAGTAACGAAGTTAGCTATAGGTGAGGAGAAAAAAAAGGCAGAGACGGAGTGCTGTACCTACAGCATGAGTTTAAAGCTAAGTATTTATCGATATTCGATACCAATGACGTCAATTTTTTTATATGCGTAAATTAGTTCCGTAAGTTACCGCTAGAGGCGATGTAACATATGCTATAGAAATTACGTCGTCTATCGATTAATCAAAAAAAACTATTGCTTCTATATGAATAGATGTGTAATAGCGAGTTTCCAAAAGCAATAGGTATGTGTTTCTTGGCCTCGTTTTGTAAGACTGTGATGTCCCAAAAGGGGGCTGATGAGCGGGATAGCGAGAGGGCCGATCCTGCTCGTAGAAGGCGTCGAGGAGGCAACCGCCTTGGCACCTAATACCTCGAATCCCGCCTGTATTAAATTTGGGCCGCGGGCATAGAGTGGGGACTCTTCAGTGCCCATCCAGTGGTCTCAGGGCAGTGGTCACGTGCCGGCAAGCACAGCGAGGCTCAAGGGAGTCACCCGTCTCTCATGAGCTTCGCTCCATAACAGGCGTTGCACCGTAGGGGCTCCGGAGCAGGACTCTTTCAGAGGACCCGGTGCCCCTTACAGGTGTTGAGGGAGGCCACCGGGGTGGTTAGTGAGGTACAAATCCCAATCCCTAGTCTTTCTTCTCAAAAAAGTTACCTAAAAACCGTCATCAAAAAAAAAGGTATGTATTTCTGCCTATCCATGATAGGTCAACAATTCAGGTGTATGCAAGAATGTATCTTACCACAGTTGGGGGTGTGGGTTATCTTTAATAAAGTTCTCTGCTTCCTTGAGCCCCACTTTTTCAATAAGCTGTCGCGTATCTCTCAGAGACTTAACTTCCACCTTCACAATATGTTGAGGTGTACATTTATCGTCCACATTGTCCAAAAGTGCTGACGTAATTTCCAATTCCTAGAATTTTGAAAGCAATAATCAAACAAGATTATATTGTAAAGTTTTATTTATGTATGTAATTTACAGAATGATTTCAAGCAAATACTTGAATAAAATTTTATATGAAACGTTATTTGCACGGCTTACCTTAAACTTGCACAAGTATCCCTGCATAGTGAGAGGTTCCTCTGGTTCAGTGTCCCTCATGACGTAGAGCCTCGCTTTCTCAGCCACGGCCAACATCTGCGGGTTGTCAGTGGCCCATAGTGCACTCCACACGTCCTTGCGCAACGCTTGGCCTATACTTATGTTGTTGGCCATGTCTGTCTCCAGCAAGTACAGCGAGCCAGGCTGGTCAATCACGTAAAACTTGCTAAAATCATAATATCATTAAGCTACATCCAAAGTAAATATCACGATAATCAAGCACTTAAGTAGGTATAAAGAGACGCACCTAGAATTAGAGTTGAGCCCCAACCTATAGGGGCGGGAATTCATGTTTATCGAAGTGATTTTCTTAAAATTGACTAGAGAAAACAGCAAAATAGAGCCAGAATCTCTTCCGATCAAAAGATGTGTGTCTGAGCTTGCGATGCAGCAAATTGTGTCGTCCTGGAAACCGGTGTCGCTACTCGACACGGGCGACCCGTCCGCCTGGTACAACTGTTCCGTGGCACCTGGCAAACATACAATATCACATAGGTACACAACACATCCAGAGCCGGAAAAATAATTTGTGGATCACATATTAGTTCATGCGGAAACTGAGCCCGCTATATTGCGCATCCACTGCGCTAAGCACGCAGTAATTTTTCAGGTACTTACGAGGTCTGGTCGGTGTAGAGAACTTCCATATAAGGAATGATTCCTTCGAAGCAGCCACAACGATCGCCTTGCTGTTGATAGTCACGTAAACCACTGGCATATTCACCGATTTAGCTAAAAATAAGTATAGGATATTTCTTAAATGTAACACCATCTAATTAACAACTATGAGTCTGCTTACTAAACATAAATCTTATTTCTTAACATAACATCACGTTTTTATCCCCGTAGGGGTAGACTTCAAACTGTATTTTTAAAAAACCCATTAATACTTTGCTCGACCCGGGAATCGAACCCGAGACCCCTTGCCAGGCAGTCGCACTTGCGACCACTGCCAATGAGGCAGTAAATGTTATTTCTGTGTAATGAAAGATATGATCAACATATATAGTAACACTCACCATCACACTGTATTCCTTGCTGGTTGGATATAATGATTTGTCCCAAAGTGGCAATGACGCAGTATTCGTCAACTGCACACATATCGATGACGTCCGGTATATGGTTTATCCAAGACTAGAAATCAGAAACATTTAATTTTAGCACGCCTTGTACCCTGATGCTATTTTAAAGTGTAAATCGTAAACAAATGCAAAAGCGACGGCCAGGCAAAGGGTTCAATTCACGGATCCGTACCCCTACTGGTGATTTACCAACTTCAGTATACCGTACAGTAGTTACCTACTTAACATATGTGAAATTAATGTTTGTAGTCTACGTACACGTTTGCCTAACATTCAATGACTACAAACAGTTATAACTAGTGACCTGCCCCGGGTTCGCATGGGTGCAATATGCATGTATCCTTACTTCCTTATCCTTACTTATATTATAAATCGGAAAGTGAGTTTGTTTGTTCCGCTTTCATGTCGTAACTACTAAACCGATTGCTTTGAATTTTTGCAGACGTAAAGTTAGAAGTCTGGATTAAATAACAGAGTACTTTTTATCCCGGAAAAATTGATATTCCTAAGGGAAAACAAAAGTATTGGTATAGATGGCGCTGTGTGTATTGGTATATGTCACATAGGCTATTTTTTATCCTTTTGTGACGCGAGCGAAGCCGCAGGTAAAAGCTAGTTATACATATAAACCTTCTTAAGAACCAATCTATCTTTTAAAAAAAGCCGCATCAAAAACCCTTGCGTAGTTTTAAAGATCTAAGCAGTGTACAGGGACAGACAGACGGCGGATAGCGACTTTGTTTTATACTATGTAGTGATATTACCTGATGTGTGACAGTATCCCAAAAGGTGACGGTTTCAGTTCCTGATGCGTATGCCAAGGTATTGCCGTAAAAAGCGTATTTATGATCCATTTTGACGTTAGCAAAGTATATGAAAGAGTCGATGGCGATTGCGAGCCGTAACGACTTCTTCTCCCACGACAGAGCTCTCATACTTCCGCCGGGCACGCGGAGAGTACGTATATGCTGGAACATACATTTTTCATATTTGAATTGAAAATAACTGCTTACTAACGTGAACTTATTGAAAGAAGTTCTACTAGTTTACGGGACTCTTAATTATGAGCAGCGTACGCGGCACGAGGACGTCGCATATTTATCTCAGGTTTTTTTTTCAACCAAATTGGCGATCGAGCCAACACCTAATTCGGTTCGAATTTTTTAACTGTTATTTATTATCAGGAACAGATTCTTAACTCCTATGTTTTTTACAGTTTTTATTTAAACAAATATTACAGCAACTCTAAATAAATAGAGGTAATATTAGGAGGTAGATACCTGTATCTACCTCCTAATATTATTTGTATGTATGTTACTTATACTATGTATGTAACTTATATTATGTATGTAACGTATGTTACATAATAAGTTTATCGCCCACAAATAAGTAGGTTTACAGAATCTTACCTCTCCGTATGCACTAAAGAATTGCACCACATTCGTCTTGTCCGAAGTAAAGCCGGCAGCAGCAAGAATGGTGCCGTTATGGTTCCAGTGGCAATCTATTATTGACATGTTTGATTCTACCACCACGCTATCTGAAAGTAAAAATGCCGGACGGTTTAATATTTTTAATGCATGTTACGAAATAACCTTGTCTTCAAAAAAGTAATTCTAAATTTTCAAGCAACATTCAAATAATGTTCTGTGACATAAACGCCTAGGTTGACCGAATGATGGCAAGTAAGATTGCCGACGTGCGTCGGTCGAAAGTTTACTGGAGAGGAGGAGATATTTTTCTATCTATAATTGTTTCTGGTGAATAGTAAATTGACTATCTCTGCGGTGATTACAAAAAGACCAAAATAACAGAACGTTTTATGATGTACATTGGAATAAGTAGGTATAGACGCCAGGCCTTTTTCAACCATAGTATTTTGTAATAAAGGTCAAAATCTCATCAGAAAAACAATAAGCTAGCGTAGGCGTATCCATTTAGTAAAGTATTTATTTGTAAAACGTAGTTTACCTTCCTCATTACAATTCTTCATTAATAATATTATACCACTCTTGTACGATATGGCCAGCACTGGTCGATTAGCTGGAGCGCTACCGGAATACCAATCCATCGTGACTATGTCCATAGATCCCGACACGCCATTTATGGCTACTGGCATCTATAAGAAAGACCATAAGAACGAAATAAAATCTCAAAAATCTTAGTATTCTGCTTAAGAGCGATCAATATTTCTTTGCCAATAGGAGCGCCTGTATTCAAGATAGTAGGTACATCGTTTTCGTGTCGATAAACCAAATCGTACTACTGATAATTTTTGGAAGAACCTTATAAGTTTCTAAATACGCCTCAAATGAGCTTCAGTGTACGAAAACTCCAATTCTGTAGATATAATTAATCTTTGAAATTGTTACTGTAAAATTTCCTTGGTCGTCATAAATGTGCAGTTCTCCATTGGTCAGAGCAAACAGCAACTGTGAATTATCAGGTGACCACTGTACTGCAGCTAATCCTGGCCCTTTGATGTCCTTACCCCAAACCCGCGAACCATCCACTGAACCAACGATAACAGCCCCTACAATTTGAAAAAATAAATATTAGGAATATTGACTGCAAAAAGGATTTGTCGACGGTTTCTAGAGCAACCAATTTAAGTAATTTTATTTTTACAGCCCTTACGGCTCAAGTACGAATTTTAATGTTATTGGCTTAATAACTTTTGGCCGCCTCGTTGGCCGAGTAGTCGCGGGTTCGATTCCCAGGTCGGGCAAAGTATTACTGGGTATTTAGAAAAATAAATCTCAGTAGTAGCACGGAGTCTGGAATTGTGCCCAGTATATGGCAATAGGCTCACTCCCTATTACATGGGACTCATAACATAAAATAGTAAAAAGTGGGTGTTACATCATACAGTGGCCTTAAGTGCCGTAATGTGCACCTCTGCCTACCCTTCAGGGATGAAAAGGCGTGATGTTATGTTATGTTGGCTTAATAATCAGTTAATAGATAGATCACACCCAGTAACCACAGTCCTGCCCACTAAATACTGGAAATTGAAAATATGTGAGCTTACCATCCTCATAAGCTATGCATATTTTTTGTCCATCAGAACCCCAAGCCATACTCCTCACAGTTGATTTGTTTCTGTTATTTATCATCTCTTCATACCAAGATCCCTGAAATTATAACTAATTATTATGTGCCCATAATAATATTATATAGGGATTGCATTGTATCATTAGATCTGAATAGAATAAATAATTGAACTGATGCTGCTTTGATTAGAGACAAGCATAAATATATTGTATTGCATTACTTGTTGTTTGCAAATTCCAACTACCCAATAAGGTGATGGTAACACGGAGTCTGGGTAGTCTGCAACAGTGTCTGCTGAACAGCCACAACAGAACTGAGGGTCAGTTCAGCTTTACCTTATATAGCATCCAGACAATAATAACTCCATGTTCATCACTAGTGGTTAATTTTTGAAATACTTCATTCCATATAGCAACACACACTTGTCCTGTGTGTCCTTCTAAGCTTAGATTCATTGATAGATTCCCTCCACCTCCTGTAATGTAAATCAATGTTTTAATTTTCTAAATTCTCTAAACCAAATTAATTATCACTAGGTGACCCAGCAAACTTCATACTGCTTAAAATTTTTTTTGTCACCTTTAAACCTACCTGGACTTTTACGAACATTTCAAGACAAAAATTAGCCGAATCGGTTCAGCCGTTCAGGAGTTATAGCGAAACCAATGAATGAAAATTTATTTTTATTTATATAGATTACTATAATAATATGTAAGTTTGTATATTGAAGTTCCTAAATTAATAATCATCATGTATAATAAGATTCTTATAAGAATCACATAGAATTCCTATAACAGTGGCATAATATGGATGGAGAGAAGCTGCTTATTTCACATACCATCCTTTGCATATGGAACGATTTTGTGCCATATCTAAACAGGATAGAATTCATTTATCATAGACGCTATATTCTACGAACATTTCAGTAACAGTAGGTATTAGACATTGTGTGAATATTATTTTATTACCAGATTCCAATTTGAGGACTTTTAACATGCCATCTTCTCCACCAACAGCAATGTAACCGGATGAATGGTTCCATGATATGCAGGTTACATTAGATTGCTTGGGTATGGCAATCTGAAATACACATACATGTATTGTATCCTTTTGTTGAAAGTATTATTTAGAGGCCTAGTCAAATTAGTTTAATTAAAACATCATCTGTCCAGGAGAGCGAGAACAGTACTTAGAAACTCTTTCAACCTTACTCATAAATAAAAGATTCCGTGTTTTATTCATAAGAGTGTAATTCAGTGTAAATCTGTTTCAAAGGCAATCTGTAAAATTTACTTTTTTAATTACATGATATGGAAACATGTATTTTAATTTTGTTAAAAAAACTAAAGAAACTCTTTTAAAACTAATTTCAAAACTTCATCACCTCAAGCGCTTCTAAAACTTTTTTAACTTATTATATCTTTGATTTATTGAATAGTTAATAAAAGAAATAAGTGTCATAAATATTAAAGAAGTAACTATGATTAATTATTGTTTCATTTGGAGAGCTGTTTTGTAAAACAACATTTTTTGAAACTGTTAAACACCATCACCATGGAAACTGCTTAGAACAACAATATTATTATTGGAAAAATTACCTTCTTGCTCATATAAATAAACATTCTGAAAGATATTTCAATTAAAAATATTTATAATATTTTGTTTTTCAACTATTTGTTTATATTAGCAAGTCCAAAATACATCACAACTTCATACTATGGACAGGTGAACAGGTGCAAACAAAACAAAACGTCGTCATCAACAAGAGATTTCAATTCAAACTTTGAGACGTGAGGTTGGTAACACCTTTGAGTTCAGTTTGACATTAACTAGATCTGACCCCATTTCCGGTGTTCAGGTCCAGGTCCGTTGATTTATTTAATTTGTAAAATAAAAAAAGGGAAATGTAGCATATATTGTCAAAACTATTATTTAATTCAAAAAGTTTAAGCGAATGTCGTGTTAATGTAAAATATCAAAATAAAACGAATAAGAATAATAGCCAAAAATACCTTTGACCAAAGTGATTTAAGAATTAAAAAAACACTAAAATCAATAATAATACAACGAAACCAAAAAAACATGTCAAATAGATTTTTGCAATTTCTTCGCGAATTTAATTTTGCTTTGTTAATTTTACTTGTATATTATAAGTGAACTTTGTTCATTAGCTACCTAACGAGTATTTAATTTTGTGTTCAATAATATTTACCTTTACAAAGTTCGGCTTACAGAGCCGAAATTTTATCGCAAGATTTCAAATAAAATAATAATTAAGTTCATGAAAATGTTGGGTCGAAAACAAAGCCTAAAAGGGGAACCGGTACTAGCAGACTACGGCCCCGAAGAATCTTTAAATGAGAGCGCAGACATAGAATGGGTCAATAAGGTATGTATCAAAATTGTACAGCTATTTTCTTAGCTTTTCTTGCCTCTATTTAATATCAATTTTATGGTTTTAAAATATTAAGAAGACCTTTACTACTAGAATTAATTAGAGTTTTTCTCGCAAAAATTTAAAATCTAGCATTTAGTTTTTCGAAAGCTCTACCTACCCACAGAATTTCCCGGAGAATTCTTAGATAAGACTTTATGGAATTAATATGATCTATATATACAATAGGCTCACCCCCTTTCATATGGAACTTATAACATAAATAAAGTGGGTGTTACATTGTACAGTGGCATTAAGTGCCGAAATGTGCACCTCTGCCTACCCCTTCAAGGATAAAAGGGCATGATGTTATGTTATGTTAATATGATCTACATTTTATTATTTGTTCATATAAAATAAAATTATTGATTACGCCACAGCCTGGCCTGTACCTTATACAAGATCCTGTACTCCTATGAATGTGTACCTTTAACCCATACATCCGCTAGTGGTCACCGGTGACCACTCTCCACTAACTACATTATAGACCTTATTTCCAATGTTTAGAGACTACTTTTGTATAAACAAATTTAGGGGATGAATTTCAACGGGTTTAGGCTAGTAATAACATATTGTTTGGTTTATTTCAGTTATGGGTTAGAAGAATACTAAGACTATGTGCTTTATTAAGTTTAATGTCAGTATCACTGAACACTCCAAAATCATTTGAAAAATATCCTTCACTTCAAACAATAACATTTGCTGTAGATTGCAGTGTTACACTTTTGTTTACTGCTGAAATGATAGCCAAAATGCATATAAGAGGAATTCTAAAGGTACGTAATTTACTAAACAATGTGCTTATAAATCAAGTACATACCTGTATAATTATGACATTTCTATTAGAGCAGTACCATATTGTTGATTCTTAAATCTTTACAGGGAGATGTGGCTTATTTGAAAGACCACTGGTGTCAATTTGATGCTTCAATGGTATTCTTTCTTTGGGTGTCAGTTCTCTTGCAAATGTTTGAGCTGACAGGCATAGTTCCCAGATACAGCTACCTAAGTATTCTTAGAGCACCCAGGCCACTCATCATGATCCGTTTTTTGAGAGTATTCTTAAAATTCTCCATGCCAAAATCTAGAATCAATCAGATATTCAAGTAAGTCGGTTTGTTTATTTGTTTATGAAATATAATTAAGTAGGTAGTTTATAGTTTCCTCATAAGTTAAGATGTATTTGAAACATACACTCACTCTGAATAATTTGTGGTTTACAGGAGATCAAGTCAACAGATTACAATGTGACCCTGTTCTTCCTATTCTTCATGTCACTATACAGCTTGCTAGGAGTGCAGTTCTTTGGAGAATTGACTCACCATTGTGTTCGAAATGACACTAACCCATAGTTAGTATAATGAATATCACAAGATCTATGAATTTCTATTATTATTCAAATATTTGCATGATTTAATAATGATGTATTTGGTTTTTCAGTGAAATCACAATAAATTCTTTAGCTATCCCAGACACATTTTGTTCACCCGACCCAGATTCTGGATATCAATGTCCACCTGGAATGAAGTGCATGAAGCTTAACTTGTCCAAATATGTAATGGGTTTCAATGGGTTTGAGGAGTTTAGTAAGTATTATAAAGTACTTAGGTACTTTAGCAGAATTGGTCCTGCTATTGTTTTAGTGTTGTTATAGTGTTATTCAAACTACATGATATTTTAATTTCTTAACTTTTATTCAGCAACAAGCCTATTCACTGTGTACCAAGCGTCTTCACAAGAAGGTTGGGTCTTTATAATGTATCGGGCTATAGACTCCCTACCAACATGGAGATCAGCTTTGTACTTCAGGTAAATCATATCTCAAGTGAAACACATTTCAGTTTTCAAACGAATAAACAATACATTATAACCTTATTGGTAATGTTTCCAGCACAATGATCTTCTTCTTAGCCTGGCTTGTGAAGAATGTTTTCATTGCTGTAATCACAGAAACATTCAATGAGATAAGAGTACAGTTCCAACAAATGTGGGGAGTCCGGAACCCTATCACTAAAGGCAGCACTACTCAGTTTTTTACTGGTGATGACAATGGTTGGAAGTTGGTTACTATTGATGAAAACAAACACTCAGGTAATTTATTAGAAAAGTAACTATAAACAAATATGTATTATCTTCATACCATTTTTGAGCATAAAAAATGAAAATTTTTCTTAATTTCAGGTAGTGCACCAGAAATATTCCACAAGTTGTTACGGTCTGCATATTTCCGACTGTTAGTCATGGGGGTAGTATTAGCAAATGGAATAATAACAGCTACAATGAACTTCAAACATGATGACAATCCTCGAGAATTCTTTTATGAGAAATATTACTACATAGAAGTAAGTATAAAGGGCAAATTGTGGTCTTTATAACTAGTCTGATATATTTTGGATAAGGTACATTAATATTATTGAATCTACATTATATTGCTTTGAATGCAGTAAATGCTTACAAAATAACCGATTTCAGATTGCTTTCACAATATTCTTGGACTTGGAGGCTCTGATAAAAATATGGTGTCTAGGCCTGAAGGGCTATTTCAAGCACTCTGTCCACAAGTTTGAGTTACTTCTGGGTATTGGTACTACTATTCATATAATACCTCAGCTGTACATGTCGGGATTTACGTATTTTCAGGTAAATATAATAGTTTAATTTAACTTTCAATTAACATAAGTACTGTAGTCAGTACCTTTTTTTATGGGATAAGCCGGTAAACGAGCGGACCCATCACCTTATGGTAAGTAATTGGCGTCGCCCATGGACACCTGAAACATCAGGGGCGTTACAGGTGTGTTACTGGCCTTTTGGGATTAGGAATTTGAGGATTGTTGGGGACTCAGGGATTGGGAAACGGCTTAATTGGACCTCCGGTAATCTCACTCACGTGACGAAACAAAACGCAAGCATTATTTCACGTCGGTCTTTTGTGAGGCCATGGTGTCACTCCGGTCGAGCCGGCCCATTCGTGCCGAAACATGGCTCCCACACTTTGTTAAAAGTACCTATATACTTACATGTCATATAAAATTGTTTTATTAATATATTTATATCTTGTTTAAGGTACTTCGAATAGTAAGACTGATAAAAGCTTCCCCATTATTAGAAGGATTTGTCTACAAAATTTTTGGTCCAGGAAAGAAACTCGGCAGCCTGATCATATTCACTATGTGTTTGCTTATCATAAGCTCTTCCATTTCAATGCAACTATTTTGTTTCTTGTGCGAGTTTACTAAATTTGAAACATTTGATGAGGTAAGTTAGATTTGGAGATATACCTACTATTATGTGTCGCTGACGAGCCGTCTAAGTGGGTCGATTTGTCGGTATTAAAAATACGTTAGATAAATGTAGGTGACATGTAAAATATGTTTCAGGCATTCATGTCTATGTTCCAAATTCTAACTCAAGAAGCATGGGTGGAGGTGATGGACGAAACTATGGTTCGCACAAGCCAAACATTGACACCGCTGGTTGCCATTTATTTTATACTTTACCACCTTTTCGTCACATTGGTAAGAATTATACATAAAACAAACACGATAATTTGACGCAATTATATTATGTTCACAATTTTATCGTAATTAAAAACTTTATTTCAGATTGTGCTGTCACTCTTCGTAGCTGTAATCTTAGACAATTTAGAATTGGATGAAGATATAAAGAAACTTAAACAACTCCGATATCGCCAACAAAGTGCCGAAATCAAAGAAAGTCTACCATTTCGTTTGAGAATATTCGAAAAGTTTCCTGACAGCCCACAGATGACTAAGCTGCATAAGGTCCCGGGGGATTTTAATCTACCTAAGGTAATATAAGATAAATGATATTTGTTTTAGTAAATAGGCTGCCAATGAGTATACAGCATAATACAATTCAATATTTGCCTTGAATTCTAAGATGACACACAGAAACAGAGTTTACAAGCCTTTTTGCAAGTCCAGACGAAAATAAATTAGATCTGACTATTGGGCCCCCCAATAGTGCTGATGCCGATACGGAGCCGCGGAGGACTTAACGGGTTGCCGGGGCTCCGGCTCGAAATGCGGGAGTAGGAACGGGGTGGTTTTAACAGTAAGTCTGCCACTCCCTCTCGCCTTACCTGGGCGACAGAAGTCATAGGATGATTTTCCCCACTCAAAAAAAAGACGAAAGTAAAATAATATTAGAAAATCATAGCGCCATTATTTTAGGATTAACGGTTTTTAAAATTGAAGAGAGCAATCACGTGACTTATAATATTGACTTATGTGTATAAAAATACCTGTAAAATCAATTAATGTATTTCCTCATAGGTCCGCGAGTCGTTTATGCGACAGTTTGTGTGCGAAGTGGAGGGCGAGGAGGAGGTAGGCGCGGCGGGTGGAGGGGATGTGTCGCGTCGAGCCTTCGAGTACATCGGTGTCGCCAAGATCGCGTTCCCGTACCGCAAGCGTTGCCTTGTGAAGACCCTCGTCGTGGCCCCGCCGTCCCAGAGACCGAGCTCTGCACTGCGCAGACATGTTGTCAGCTCCATCATTGAGTTAGTAATCAATAAAAAAACGTTCTTGTTTCCTGCTTTGCATAGTTGAAAGTGTGTTAATAAATGAGTGACTTCTTTTTACCTTCAATTGTTAAAGTTTGAGTTTGTTTTCGATTTTATGTTTCTGAGTTGATTTCGTTTTAGTCAACGTTATTTTGATTTTTGTTGCTTTGTTTTTATTAATTTTACTTTTTGTTTGAAACTTTCAGGTTTCGTTTTGGTTGCTGTTAACGTGATTGAGAAGGTTTATATCTTGTCTTTTAATTTAATTTTCAAAACAGTTCTTATTATTTGACTTTATTCCAGTAACGAGCAGTCGGTATAGATTATTTTTGATATCCTTATTTCAGGGATTCAAATAATCACAGACCTTTACTGGGAGATTCAGCTATGTTAGCAACTGGAGGCAAGTCTGGTCTGAAGCCTCAAGGTACAATATCAAGCGCTAAACAACTACGAGTCGACCAAAAGAAGTATGTATTAAGTTTAGTAGCATCATACAAAGTACGACAACAAGACAAATAGAATTCAACTTTATACCTATGCAACAAAGTTGAAGGTTCTCTGACATAAAATATAATCAGACTTTATTTTGGTTTTGTCTTGTTGGTTAATGTGGTGTTATAAGTACTTGTATAATGTGTGGTATGTTTAACGAGTGAGCAATAATATGGCTCTCAGGTTTGGGTCGCGTTCGATAAGGCGGTCGGTGCGGAGCGGGTCTATCAAGTTGAAGCAAACTTATGAACATTTGCTGGAAAATGGCGACATTGGTGCGGCCTCGCGCGTCGTGCCGTCCTCACGAGCTCGTCCGCCATACCTCGACATACGACTACTGCAGGCCAAGAGACAGCAAGCTGAGATGAGAAGGTGGGTCTTTAAGAAAAGCGTGTTTCTGCAATAAGTTATAAAGTATCCTTTAACTTGCTCTAGATCTTTCTTTACACAAGATAGTTCAGAGTGTGTAAGAGGTGCTTCGATCTATCTTTATTGTATATTGTATATTGAAGTTGATAATCGATAATGTTTAATACTTAGAAATCAACGAGAAGAGGATTTACGTGAAAATCATCCATTATTTGACACACCACTGCTGATAGTACCGCGAGAGTCTCGCTTCAGGAAGATATGTCGCGCCATAGTGGACGCGCGATACGACGCTCGACTACGAGACCCTGTTACTGGCAATGAGAGAAAAGTTCACTATAAAAGTTTCCAGTAAGTACATTAAGTTACTTTAGTTATGTCAATGTTATGTTCTTAGCGATCCGATTCTGTTGGGCTGTTCATGATTATTTAATACATATATTATGTATAAACTAACTTGAGACAGTATTATAGTCCTATCCTAACCGACCGTCTTACTGGTTACTAAGTAGAAGTGGATCCTAAAAGATCTAACATGTGTATTGGCACACTGTATGTTAGGTACTAAGTGACTTAATAAGTGATTTTTGTTATTACTAAAAGATTACATATTCCCTATACAAGCTTTCAAAGAAGAATTATCTCTTTTTTTCAGTAGCTACTATATGAATATGTATTCGTATGTATAATTTTCAGTAATTTCCTGGGACTTGTGACGTATATGGACTGGGTTATGATTATGGTTACCACACTCTCTTGCTTGTCCATGATGTTCGAGACGCCAACGTACAGAGTTATGGAAAACTTTGTGCTGCAGGTAAAACAATATAAACCTTATTCGCTTAGTATTAGATAGATAATAGATATACAAGAAGTACGAAGAGACTTTTAACAAAAACTTCAAGTGTGTTCATATTTTAACAAAAATATCCATTATCTTAGATTGCAGAATACGGATTCGTAATTTTCATGAGCTTAGAACTGGCGTTGAAAATTCTGGCAGATGGACTGTTCTTCACACCTAAGGCTTATCTCAAAGATGCAGCAGCCGTACTAGACGTCTTTATCTACATCGTAAGTATCGCTCATTTGAGTCAAAATTATACATTTTAATGTGTCAAAACAAAATTATTTAGAAATGTTTGTTTTTTAAATATATTTTTGATATGGTTGTGTATTTGTATGCAGGTGTCGCTTACGTTCCTATGTTGGATGCCAGTGAAAGTACCTCCCGGGTCCCCGGCCCAGATGTTGATGATACTACGTTGTGTCCGTCCGCTACGTATCTTCACCCTGGTACCACACATGCGTAAAGTTGTCTACGAGCTGTGTCGCGGCTTCAAAGAGATTTTGCTCGTGAGTAAAGACGCTCTTAGTTTTAGTTGTCCAAACGCTATACCCCAAACTATTTACATTCTGTAAACTGTGTTATCCTCACTCTATTTCCTTTTTACTAATAGGTATTATAAATGCGGAAGTGCTGCTGACGGACTGCCTCATTGGCCGAGGGGTCGCAAGTACGACTGCGAGGCAAGGGGTCTCGGGTTCGATTACCGGGTCGGGCAAAGTATTTCTGGGTTTTTAAAAAAAATTCTCAGTAGTAGCACGGAGTCGGGAATTGTCCCGGTATATGGCAATAGGCTCACCCCCTATTACATGGGACTCATAACATAAATAGTGAAAAGTGGGTGTTACATTGTACAGTGGCATAATGTACACCTCTGCCTACCCCTTCGGGGATAAACGCGTTATGTTATGTTATATTAAATGCTGAAGTTTGTGAAGATGTGCAGATGTTTGTAGCTCTGACGATAAAACTGCTAAACGGATTATAGTTTGAAATAATTATTTTTTTATCCCATTAACGCGGATGAAGCCGCTGGTAAAGTTAGTAAAATATAAATTTTATTGCCTATGATTATTAGGTCGAAAATCTGTTATACATTAAACGCCACGAGGTCACCGGTGACCTACGTTACTGGAGGATATGCCTTCAACAGTTTTCTATTGGCAGTCAAAACCTTAAACAATTTATAGATTACAGATTGGGGTAGCTTAACGTTCTCGTGTTCGGAACTAACTGTTTTTGTGTTTAATGCAATATTATTAATTAATAATACAAAAATTATTTTCTACAGGTATCAACGCTTTTAATTCTCTTGATGTTTGTGTTTGCGAGCTATGGGGTGCAACTATATGGCGGAAGGTATGATCTAACATTTTTATTGTAAATTAGTCATAACAAATACATTTATTTTATTATTTGGAATTTTATTGTACTCGTAACTTTTTTCATTGGTTCATTAAACAAGTATATCGGTTAAAAGAGCTCTTGCCTTTTTTGTATCTCTCCTATTGTGATTAATTATGTAATACTCAACCCCTACCAGTGTTAACACTCACATAGCTTGTATGAATATTTCTTACTTCAACGTAGATTGGCGCGGTGCAACGACCCTACAATAACAAAACGCGAGGACTGTGTGGGCGTGTTCATGCGTCGAGTGTTCGTCACGAAGATGAAGATCCGACCCGGACCTAACGAGACCTTCCCTTCCATGCTTGTACCTCGAGTCTGGTGTGTAATTGATTATAAAACACATTGCCAAACATTAAGATTGAAAATCTATTAACGAGATAAAATTATTTTAGGGCAGATTATTATAGCCTGTGTTTAAACAGATATTAACACGTCGAGTACCGTATTTATAGACACAATTAAAGAACAATAGGTTGCGGTCACCGGTGACCGCTTGGTGTTTGACAGTTTAATGATATTTCATATTTTATTCTTTTTGTATCTTAATTAATTAATTAATGCAGTACAAGAACATGTCCAAGAGAACAGTAAAAACAAAAGTAGAACTGTTTGAACTTAGAAAGCAGTTGCAAGTCCCATGAGCATGCGTTTGTTTCAACTCTACAATATAAGTAATTGTATTTTACAGGGCAAATCCGAAACGATTCAACTTCGACAACATTGGTGATGCGCTCCTAACATTATTTGAAGTACTATCGTTCAAAGGCTGGTTGGATGTTCGAGATGTATTGATCAAGGCTTTGGGACCGGTTTGCATCATACCTTTTATTTTATTAAGAAACTAGATTTTACCAGATGATCAACATGGTTGGTGCAGCCAAATCGATTATCTTTAGTGTGTCAACTTACACATTTTTTTTAACTAATTACGAAGTAAATGAATTCTTTGAAAGATGCTGTATTTATTGGGTCACTCAGTGTTATTTCACCATTATAATATCAAAGTATGTCTTCGACAGGTTCATGCAATCTACATACACGTGTACATATTCTTGGGCTGTATGATTGGACTAACTCTGTTCGTCGGTGTAGTGATTGCTAATTACTCAGAAAACAAGGGAACTGCTCTCTTGACTGTCGACCAGCGACGTTGGTAAGGGTTTATTAAAAACTGCAATTTATTTATTATAAAATATATTTAGTGACTACACACTAATGCATAATACATGCACCCATGTTAATTCTGCGTACGCGATCATTAGCATTTACAGGCAAACAAAATATGAAATCACAGATTTCGGCGCCATTTCTTTTATCACCATAGAAAACGGTTAATTTGGTATTATATTTATATATTTCTATCTTAGGTGTGACTTGAAAAAGAGATTGAAAATCGCTCAGCCGCTGCACTTGCCACCTCGTCCCAACAAAAGAAAAGTGCGAGCCTTTGCATATGACGTCACACAGAACTTGAGCTTCAAACGAGTGATCGCCATCGTGGTGCTTCTGAACAGTGGATTGTTAGCTGTCACGGTTAGTAAACAAATTCAATTATTTAAAGTAGATATAGACAGTAGAACTAGTAACAACAGACACGGAACCCTCTTGAAAATTGCAAGTCTGCTTATCTCATTACAGATTAAAAATAGAAAATAATCATTAGGTTGTCAGTAAGAGATCGCAGAAAGGGATATGACCGCCGTTTGTATTTTCTTTTTATTGGTTTTGTGATATTATTAAATGTTGGTTTTATACTATTAAATATATAAATAAATGAGAAAAGGTGTGTAACTTTCCAGTGGTCTCGATACTCGCCGTACACGGAGCAACTGGCGCTGACGTCAGCTCTGTTGACGCTAGTGTTTGTAGTAGAAGTGTTGCTGAAGACCATCGCCTTCACTCCGCGCGGCTACTGGCAGAGTCGACGCAACCGATACGATCTGCTCGTCACTGTCGCAGGATGTATCTGGATTTTCATGCATTTCACTTTAAAGGTATGTTGGAAAATACAGTATGTTGTATATTTTTACAACATTGAATCATCTAAGAAGTCGATAGAGAGATACTATAGTTGTTGACGAAATAGTTGACATGTTGACAAAGGGCCAAGACCATATGTATCAATCGACAAGCTTGCATGAAGAGATTGACCAGAATCGTGTCACTTGCCTAACGAGATCTTGTGTGTATAAATAGGATAGTAAATTTAAGTATATAATGTCTTTATTTAATAAATAATACTAATATTCTTTTGATTGTAGAACGACTTGTCATACTTCGTGGGTTTTATGGTGGTTATTCTCCGTTTCTTCACGATAACGGGCAAACACACGACGCTGAAGATGTTAATGCTAACCGTCGGCGTGAGTGTGTGCAAGAGTTTCTTCATCATATTCGGCATGTTTCTACTTGTTTTCTTCTACGCGCTTGCTGGGACTATTGTATTCGGGAATGTCAAATACGGCGAAGGTATTGGCAGGTACATGTATCTTACTTGTGTTATTAGGGCAAAATCACGTATATCGTATGGGGTTATACAACAGACTGTTGCTGACATTTTTTGTTGAACAAACGGATAGGCAGAAATGTACTATTCTGTAATGTTATTAAAACATTTGATTGTTAGGGTTGATTTCGAAATAACACACGCGGCAACTCTAAAAAGAACGCACTTGACGTAATTTTTTTTCTTAATTATCATTATTTATTAGTTTATTGACGAATACGGCAGGAAGATTACCTTTATAATCGTCGGCGTGTTGAAATCCCGGATCGGGAAAAATATTGATTAAAAGCTATATGTATTTTGTTTTAGGCGTGCAAATTTCAACTCGCCGATTCACAGCGTGGCGATGTTGTTCCGTATAGTGACGGGCGAGGATTGGAACAAGATAATGCACGACTGTATGGTGGCGCCCCCTTACTGTACGCCCGCAGACAACTACTGGGAGACTGACTGCGGGAACTTTACCGCATCGCTCGCCTACTTCTGCACTTTCTACGTCATCATTACTTACATCGTACTTAACTTACTTGTGGGTCAGTACAACTCACATCATAAACGCTTGACGATGATGTACATATTAAAACAATATCTAAATTAATTAAAATAATGTAATACGTTTCTTATATTATATAATTTATCAGACACAATCTTTGTATTTTGCAGCTATTATCATGGAGAACTTTTCACTGTTCTACTCGAACGAAGAAGATGCTCTACTGTCTTACGCTGATATAAGAAACTTTCAAAATACTTGGAATGTGGTTGATGTCCATCAGAAAGGAGTTATACCGGTTAGAAAGGTAAGGAGATATTCGGTGACGAACAAACATGTGCCTAAATGATTAGCAAAAAAATCATTATTATGTGTATGTCATTTGCAAGCTAACGTCTAAGCGTCTTTAATTCGGTTCTTTTTATGAGCAATAAAATCTGTAACTTCTTAAACATTGGCATTTCAGGTGAAATTTATATTGCGCCTTCTAAAAGGTCGTTTAGAATGCGACACCCACAAGGAGAGGCTGTTATTTAAGTACATGTGCTATGAGCTCGAACGACTTCACAACGGCGAGGATGTTACCTTCCACGATGTCATCAAGTAAGTTGACAACCTTTACGACTCTATTTTCTAAGCAGTTGCAATGTTTGATTTTGCAATTTAATTGTGAGTATATACTATGTACTAATATTTGAATGTAATGTGACCAGTATGCTCTCGTACCGCACGGTGGACATCCGTAAGTCTCTGCAGATGGAAGAATTGTTGGCTAGAGAGGAGTTCGAGTTCCTGATTGAGGAGGAGGTCGCCAAACAAACAATAAGAACTTGGCTCGAAGGCTGTTTAAAGAAAATAAGAGCCAATAGCGTAAGTAATCTTAATCTGTTTTGGACTATCGTATCTTGATGTACTTTTTTTCGTTTTGTTTTTTTCTCATTTATATAAAATTTTTGTTTACGTTCTACTTATCTTTATAAAACAGTTAAATTATTAAAGTAGTTACCTAAACTAGTGTAACTACTAATTTACGAAACATGTACATAGCTGTATAAACCCAAAACCATATCTTTAGTTAACAACTTAAAGTTACTTAACGTGACGTAGCACCTAAACTTACCTCTTACTTGTTCTGTTAGGTGTTACGTTGTTAAATGTCACCCATCTCAGCTTAGGGGCTGCTTAAAATCCAGGAGAGGTTGGCGTAAACAACCATCAATATTTTAAATCTCATTATTCTATTTTACAGAAACAACCTACGAATAGTTTGATCGCGGGCCTGAGAAAGACAAATGAGCAAGCAGTTGACAGTATGAGCAACGAGAAAGTTGACAAAGAGAAACTAGAAACAGAAGCTCAGGTACTAACTTTAATAGGGTACCTTCCTAAATTTTATTTTAATGTCCGTCTGGTACATTAATTTAAAACTTTAGTTACGTATTTTTTCTTTTCTCACAAAATTAAATACTTTCGACGAAATATTAATTTGAAATATCGTATCGTCACAGCGTGTCATTTGTAGCACGTTATGACGTAACGACATCCCACTCCAAAACTTAGCGCCATTTAATCTTAGTATTGCAACGTAATACGAGAAAAAAATACGTGTCTAATATTTTTTCATTTTATAACCGACGGACTAATTAGATTTTTAATTTTGATTCCCTGAAAACTACCCAATTCTGTGCATGTAACACATTTCAAGTTCATGTGAAATTTAAATAAACCATGATTCATTAACCATTCGTACTTTACTGTGAACAAAGACATTATTAACTAAACTTAAATGATTTTGCAGCAAACTATCGCTAATGCAGGTCGCACAGAAATAACGGAGTCCGCTTCACAACCAGTTATATCCAGTAAGTAAATAATGTAGTATTATCTGTACTTTAGAACATAGCTTAAGTGACATTGTCTTTTAGAAGTATAGAAAGCACTAACATTGACTATTTTATTCCGCAGATATATCATCATCGTTTGATTCACAACCGAAGAGATCTTCAACAAAAAGCCAATTTAAAAGACCGGGGTTGCCATCTGTTACGATTCCGAGGTAGATACAAAATAATCACTTGAATATTTTAAAGTTTGCTTTTTTGTAGGTCTCTCTATTGAAAATATTCACTCAATACAAATGACAAACACTACACAAGTTAGAAGAAACAAAATACATATAACTTATTTATAATATGAATTAATTTCTTACAGACCTGAGAGTCCGATCAAAAAGTATCTGCAACCAACTCTCAGTGATCCACATCCTGCTCTCATAAAGAAGTCTTCATGTAAGTGTGAGTGATCCTAATTTTTATGCTATTTTACCAAAGTTAAAGTTATAATCATTTATTTAAATTATATAAGAGTCCTCTAGGGAAACTATTTACTCTTCCTAAAGTGTATCGCAACTTTCCTTGGATCTAACGTGTTGAATGTGGTAAGTACTTAATATATTAGCTAAAGTCGGACGAGGAAACAATTCGCTTTATTATAACAGATCAGTAAAGTAAAAATTTATTTATTGTTACATTTTTAAGTTACTCAATGACGCTTTACTTTCCAAAGCATCATCCGAGTGATATTGCGGGCAAATTGTACTTTTTGGTACACTGTACAACGTCATCCAATTTTCATTAAAATTGGATGACGTTGTACAGTTACTTAGTACGTTGTGACATATACCATTGTATATAAGGACAACAAGTATACGGACTTCCTGATTGTATGTATAATGTTAATCGGCATTGCCCATGGACGTCCACATGCCTTTTATAGAGGGAAAATGTTGTGTTTGGATAAATAGATTTTTACAAATGTATAAGATTCTATGCGCCTAATGTAAGTATAATGTTTGGCAGCGAACGTGAAGAGTGGTTCCCGTACGAGCCACAACAGTTCGCAGGCGGCGGGCGGCGGCGGCGGCGGCGGCGGCCTGCCCGCGCTGCACGACGTGCACTCGTGGTGGGCCGCGCACCTCGCCGGCCTCGCGCATCTACACGCGGACTGAGCACGGTCAGCTCCACTACTACTATATTTGTTCCATTACAGGTTATCTGTGCCACGAAACGAGGTCAAATTATTAACTCCCATGCCCCATGGGAGTAAAAAAAAGGAACACTATTTTTTGTTGCATTCTCAAAAGTGTCAACACAACAGTTGATCAGTTTCGTAGTCTAAGCCACAACTGTAAGATATTACGTTTATGTTACACTTTGTGTATTATGTTACATATTGTAATTTGTCTGTCCTAAAATTTCGTATCCTCTCTTTTTAACGATAAAACTAAAATAATAAAAATTGACTCGTCGTTATCAAGTTGTAAATAATATAACGAACGACATAAGTCTTTTTACCAACGGTAAAACACATTTTATTAAATGGTTTTATTCAATTCGAATTTGTATTTTGATTATGCATTTCATTAAAGAAACGTAGCACGTACCTGTCAAGTCAAGAAATGTTATCATTACCATTACATTTAGAGCGCAACATTTTTATATGAAAATGTATTTTAACAGTGTTCTTTTTCTTAAATGAGTACACAGAGACGTGAACCATTGAAGACATTGTTAACTATTTACAATTTATTGTCTTAAATGATGAAACGAAAGTAAAATAATGTATTAACAAATAAGCTGTAGCAAAATCTAGGTCAATACTTGTTTGATGTTAAGTATCTGTGTTAATAAAATTGATAGATATATTTTAACGTGTTATCCGATTATTGTGTCTACCTATATGTTAGTGCCAAATAGTGCAAAAAAATAAAAAAGATTACAAAATTAGTTCTTATTTTATTCATTATCCCATTATTAAAAAATTCATCATTGAATTTGATTTTTATAACTGAGTATCAACAGTTTAAAATAGGTATTATTTACATTACACAACCAGGCGTTATTTACAATGAGTAAACCGGCTAGTTGGTTCATTCTATTAAAATATAAATTGATATTAAATATTCTACTGTAATAGATGACACATGCCTAGAGAGAAGAGTACTATCGCAGTAATGGTTAGTACGAGACAGATATATCGACCTGCGATGGGGTAGTGGAACAGTTTCGCGTGCAGACGTAGAGTGGACGCGTACATGAGTACCGACGTGATGTCCTCCTGGGAAGTGTCCTGGTGCAGAAACGGACGGACGCACAGCTCATGTCCCACAGACTGAGTCCGTCTGCATTCTTTCGACAAACGTGCGGCCTGGAATAGATTTTAGATTTTCAACGTTATTACAACTAATAATAGTGAATAATTTTAGTAGCTTGAAGTATGCTAAGAATAAATATATTCCTTACTTGAACAAACGGTACAATAACTGCTGAAATCCATATGAGCTCGTTTAGAATGCTGATGCCGACCAAGGGTTCTGTCTCAGTATCTACCTTATCCAAGTTGAGCAGCCACATGATGCCAGAGGTGGCCCACGAGATATTCACGATGGTGAACAAACAAACCGCAGGGGCTAAGTCGTCGTTCAGATATTTTAATAGTTTTCGGAACTCTGCTATCTCCTGGAAAATTTGGTTGTATAATTGATCCGTCTCTAATAAAATAACATTGTTGGCAAAATAATTGAGGCTTTACAAAGTGAGCTGCCCAGTTACGTACACTAACAGTGTATTTAATCACAAGCAAGCATGATATTTATAAAAAATATGGTCAAAATGAAACTCACTCTCATCCAGTTGAGCGGAGTTATAGTTCGGTTCAGCAGCCGTTCTTTGAGGAACATAAGATGAGCTTGTAATAACTGTGCTTGTAGGCAATAGCTCGTGATTATAGTCGCCTGCACCATGTCGTGGATCAATGTGCATATAACTAGCAACACTTTTAACACCATCCTTATTTCATATGAACTGAAATTGAATATAAACTTATTAGATGACAGACCTTACATAACTGGAAATAAATTTAAATAATGAATTACAAAAAATTATAAGGGACTTCGGTGTCTTTTATTGATTTAAAATTTACAAATGCATGCTCTGTAATTAAGTTGATTGTTAAAACGACTAGGCAGGTACAGAATTTACAGAACTATGAATAGATTATAGTACCTAACTGTGAATAAACTCACCTATTTTCCATCCATCTAAATATAATATTGCCTTTAGCCAACATAAGATTGACTGAACATAACGACAGACACATCCATATAACGCTGAGTATTATGAAAAACCACAACATGCGTAGTAAACGTTTAGGCTTAGTGGTGGGCATTCCTTGAGGCGAATAAGAGGATAGTAAAAAAACCTAAAAAAAAACACCAGTAGGTATAAACTAAGTGCTTACAGTCGTTCATATTAACCAAAACAATAAACAGAATAAGTAGGTGTTTCCTATCTTCTTGTTTCAGGTGCTACTTTTAAGGTTTTGTAGGTACTCACCCTTTCCATTAAATTTTGCAACTGTTCATTATCAGATATTCTGAACAAATATAATGCATATAAAAAACCCACGAAGTGCAGTATGCTGGGCCCAATATAGGTGAAAATAACATTTCCGTAACACACTTGCTTATAGTTCTCATACTCAAGGCTGGATGTTAAGGCCAATGGAACTAACTTGTAACAAAATCCTCTGTCTCGTCTGAAATGAAATTTCTTCTGTTATAATAATTTGAAAGTGGAATTGTCATCAATTGTTGTCGCTAATAATTTGACTCTATTACAATGGCCCTCAGTTATTTATTGAAAAAGGTATATGAACTCACCTGAAACAAGCCATATACTGTAGAACGTATCCTATAAACATGAGTATTGCTACTTGTATTGAATGGAAATGCGAGCAGCATATTGCGCATTTGGAAGAGTTCGATACATCTAGTACCGGTCGCAGTCCCATTATAGTTAATAATTTTAAATATGGTAGCAATATCTGCAATAAATTAGTACATAATTAAGTAGTTATAGGACCTACATTACGTATATTACAAGTACAGTTATTTATTAAGTACAATCTTAGGCTTACCTTTGATTTACAGTAATGTAATATAGCAGAAGTACTCATGTATTCAGTGTCAGGGGATTCTGTTATTTCTCCAATCTGAAAAGCAGTCACCAATATAACTACCGTTCATTAGGTAGGCACTTCCTATTTAAACCACCGTTGATTTTTATTGTTTATTAAAAACAGATCATAAACGGTTTTGTTAAATAAGATTAACTAAATCACGATTTGTTAATAACATTGTGGGGATACAAGCTGCCCAATGTGTGCGTAATGGCTCCAAAAATATCTGTCATTTATATTGCATTAGTCTTATGTAGGTAAACGATTCCTGCAGATATTGTTAAACATTTGAATGATAAGAATTACTCACATCCACACTATTGCCGTCGATACTGAACCTGGTAGATCTCTCCATCGCTGGTTCAGCAAGCTTGTCGTTGCCCAGTACATGGCTGTCCAGTAAGTCACTAGCTACAAAACAATTGAAAAAATTCACATTATCCAGTTTATTGCCCATATCTGCTCATTAATTACCAACACGCACATTATTCTAAATGATAAAATATTAATAATTGATCTTTTATGTAGCAAACAACTAATATCTCTGTAATGACGGTACACAATTAAAAAACTAGTGGGTAAGTGCTTACCACTACCGTAGGATGCGTTGTCATTTTGCATTTTTTAGAATATAATCACAATTTTTGTTTCTATAACAATTACCTAAATTAAACTTTCGCTGAGAGTGGAAAGGATACACTGAGAAGAACAGCGATAACGATTCGCTGCAATGTTTTTTTAATAAATAATAACATCATTGAATATGTGCTTATAATAATGTACCGAGTCAGTGCATTAACCTGATAGCCAATGCGATACAAATGTCATTGTGTTTTTGTACTTAGATATTATTTACAAGATCATATGTGATTTTTTCGTGGTTATTAGGTAGGTACCTACAGTTTTATCACCCAGAATATTAACAATGATGTAATTATTGTCTTGATCCTTGTAACTTCGTTATACTGCAGTTGAGGTCGTGGTGTCGTCAAGTTTTATGTTGTGTTAGGAAGGACTAACGAATATTGTGAGTAATTTACCTACATCCATTAGAAATTACAATTTTACTGAGAATTACCTCCTTCCTTAATCCTCATTGCATCTTTTTACTTACTACTGAGGCTAAGGTTTGTGACCTCTATCGACTACCAATGAAATGTTTATGTACTAATAAGTGAAAACTCTAGTAGCTAAGCGTTATAAATGATATACCCACTATTATTTATAATAATTTAGATGGGGATACAGATATGCGCAGGTTGCGCTCCAGCATATCACTGTAGTGTGTTTGGTAACTTGTATGGGCCTATGGGCGTGGTTGTTACTGGTAGGCATGCAGTAGAGGCACAGAATTTGCGAAATTAGCACGTGTGACCAGACGCGACAGCTCCGACGATGGATGCCATAACTTGGCATAATTTTGACTGCACGGTTGGTGCGGTGGCTGGGCAACAGGCTGCCACGCAACGTGTCGCGAGTTCGATTCCCGCAACGAACATCTATTTGTGTGATCCACAGATTGTTGTTCCGGGTCTGGGTGTTATGTGTATGTGAACTAGTTAGTATGTTTGTAAACGCACCCACGACAGAGGTCCTAGTGAGGGGCAACGTTTAAAAAAACTGGCATGCTTTGCCTTTCTCTATTTATTAGCATGTGTATGTGTAATCCTTCTTATTATATGTATAAGCTGAAGAGTTTGTGATGATTAGCGCGTTCAACAACTAATAGTCCGACGCCGATTTGAAAAAAATTGTGTTGGATAGTCCATTTATTAAGTAAGGCTATAAAACATCACGCTGCGATCAATAGGAGCTGAGCAGAGCGGGTGAAACCGCGCGGAAGTAGCTAGTTTATTAATAAAATGCCTAAATAATTGTCTTAATCTATATTTGTGTATAAAATAAATATTGTACATTATAACGATTTTGGTAGCTTTTTCTTCATTAAAAATCCTGTTTTTCTGACAAACTGTTTTCGCTCTTGATGATGTTTCTTCATTTGTTTTTGATTTTGCGTTTCTGATTTCTTCCCTCTCATACTAAACTTCATTTCGCGATTTCCGCCAGCAGTCGTGACCATAGTGGAAAAGTTTTCTTTAGCTAACCGGTCTCCTAAGCTAGCCTTGCTAACCCGTGTTATACTTTTGATGATATTTGTAGACCTAGGAGCGTTATTAGATTCGTAAACCTGCTCCTCGATGGGTTGCGCGTCATCTTCTTGTCGTGACTTATTTCTAATGATTTTATGTTGCTTTTTCACTTCTTTAACCCATGATCGGTCTTCATCTGAACTTTCGCCGTCACTAGTATCATACAGTTCCATATCCGAATCCTTATCTTCAGTTTCTTCCACCTGTTAAAAATGAAAGTAAAAAAGATAGTCACGTTTGATAACAGAATTAAGCAATTTGTTTTTAGATATAGTGCTTGTAGAAATAGTTACCTGCATTGATGTTTCGGTTTCCATTTTCTTGTCTTTGTTTTTATCGAGCCTAGATAAAACTGGATTGAGTAGGCGATATTCCTCAGCTTCTCTATCCACCTCAAAGTCAGGATTTTCAAACAGAGCCTGGGGGAAAGAAAAGAAGTTTATGTAAAATACTTTCACTGAAGACAGTGTAGTGGTGATTGGTGCCACTGATCTCATGCCTTAATAATTATGATAGAGCTTTGCCCTATATATCTATCTTCTATCTATATATAAAACGCATCCGTTACTGAGTGACTGACTGAATGACTGACAAACAAAGCACATTCGAAAATACTAGCGAGAGCTGGAATTTGGCATGTGTGATCGTTGAGGGAATAATTTTTGGATTTCTTCCCCTAACGGAGGAAAAGGAAGCAAATTGAAACTTTTTACTAAACCACTTTTTATATCAAACCACTGAACCGATTTAAATGTTTGGTATAGATATAGTTTAAAACATAAAAAACGTAATAAAATAGTTTTTGTTCTGGATTCCACAGGAACGGGAGCTATATGTTAAAATCCCAGTACTCGCTCTATTTCTTAAACCACTGAAAGTATTTGATGGAATTTCGGTACCTACAACGATAGTTTATTTAAGACCTGGAAAAGAGTGTGGGATAGTTTTCATTCTGGAAATTTCACGGGAAATGCGGTATAATAATAGTTTGGGACTTGGAAACGACGTTTGATAGTGTTTATATCGGCTATTCTACGGGAATGGGAACTATGCGATTAAAACCAGGACCTATGCAATTACAACGACCTGGGACCTTCCCCAGGTCTCAAATTGTGGAGCGTATGATAGCTCTTTTCCCGTAAATCTCATGGGAACGAAAACTATACGGTAAAATTCCAGGACTCTCTATCGTTTAACCACTGAACCTATTTTGAGTGAATCTGAGTACAACGATAGTTTGAGACCTGGGAAATGATGTTTGATAGTTTTTATATTTCAGGGGAACGAGAACAGGAAATATGCGTTAACATCTCTGAACTAAACCTATTCGATACAACGATGGTTGTAACCTGGGAAAGGACAAAGAATAGATTTTATGGCTAAAACATCATGTAAACACTGTATGCGTAAAAACACCTGTGGAAATAAATTAAATTCACAATAAACATTACTTGGGAACTAAATCGATTTTGTTGATATTTGCTACAGTTGTAGAATATTCAACCAGTTCTAAACCCAAATTCTGTCAGAAGTTATTATTCTACGAGGGCGAAGTTGCGGGCTAAAGCTAGTTATTCGTATGTAAGAATTAGGTTTGACAATTTGTCATAATATTTTTACCTTAAATCGATCATCTTTGAGCAGATTAGTAGTCTGCTTCTTCTTTCTTCCGCTGTCATCCATAAGTTTAGATGCCAAATCTCTGTTGACTTTTGGCAAGTTATCTTCGACCTTTAGTCTGGATGGTCTCTCTTGCTCAATCTTTTCTCTGATCTTACGTTTCTTATATTGCTCAAACGCAAATGGATCCGCGATCGATTTCGCTCTCTTGTATAAACGCACATCAACAAAGAATCTGTGAATATTCAATTCATTAATAACAAAGAATTTATATCTCTAATCATCCAGTAAAATAAAACCTCATCTGAGACTCACCCATGCATGTATGCTCGTAACAGATTGGTACCCAGCAAGTGATCAAGGCCTAATGATTCCAGCTCTTGTTTAGTGATGAACTTGTAATCATCATAAACTGTTTGTGCTGCAGAGCTTTCTAATTCTTCTGTTAAATTATCCAAGAAAGCACACCACCTAGGTGCTGGTCCTGGAAAAATGAATATAAAAATATTTAAGAAATTCTATCCATACCTTTTAAATTTAACTACAACTGTTGGTACATACCTAATGAGGGAATGTAATATATCTGCATTTTTTGGTCTTCAACAGCCATCAAATTTAATCCTGTGTTTGGAATAACACATAAATCATTGAAATCAGCTGATGATTCTATGCTTGTGTACTGCTTGCCCTAAAATAATAACATGGTTATTTTAATATGGTCACATTCTTAATTTTCAATCATCAATTACAATTACCTATAATAATATACTTACTGTATTCTTATCCCATATTTTGACAACAGTTGAATCCATAGAATAAACATAATCCATTGTTTTATGGAATTCTAATGCTTTTATAGGTATTTCATTCATGTGGTCTTTTACAAGGAGTGGTTTACTTGATCTAATGTCATACAACAGTACATGACCTGTAGATGTCCCTACACCCATCCTGAGAGGTCCATCAAACTTGGCAGCAGTTATGGCAGGCAATTTATCATTTCTATAAAACAAAAGCAATATTTTAATTTATTGATTACAGAAATAGATTAATATTTTTTTAAGATTATTATGACTTTTACATACTTGTATTCTGAATCTGTACAATGCATGGCACAATCTAATATTCCCTGTCTTGATTTAGTGCGAGGGTCCCATGCTTCAACATGACCAGATTCCGTGCCTAGCATCAATAATCCATGTTCCTCATTAACAGCACAACAATTAATTTCATTCGCCTTTGTTACATATGGAGCTAAAAATTGACCTATTTCCAAATTCAATCTATAAACTTCCTGAAAATAAAATAATTTGTGTATGTAGCTTAAAAACACACAATTTAATAAATTCTCTGGTTCAATGGTTTAAAAGCACAAAATATAATAGACTTACAGATGATGCACCCACAACAAAAAGATCGCATGATGGCCGATGATATGCTATATCTCTTCCAAATCTGGGTACTCTTAGTCGATAGTGTCTACCATGTCCTACATGGAATTCCACATAACGATCACATTGCAAAAATACTATCTGAAAAAAAAAACCATTTAGTCAGTCATTCATATAACCAATCTAACATTATAATTACATTAGCCAACATTTTGTACTGAATGGATATTTCAAGATATAAAAACTTACCTTAGAATAGTCCTCACTTAATATTTCAAATGTTACAACTTCAGAATCGAGACATCTTTCAAACTTTAAGGACAAATTATTAACGTCATAGCATTTTATTCTTGGTTTATAAATGCCGGTGGTCATTATATATTGTCCATCTTTAGAAACTCTGATAGTGGTGCTCACTCCTGGCATATCAAACTCTTGAATTAGCTCAATTCTTCGTCTGAGATCAACATTTTTCTTGAGCAGGGCACGCTTTTTTCTTTCTGTCAGCCACTACAAATAAAAAAATACTAGTACAGTAAATATAAATAAATTTAATTGAAATGTATACTTCATAGGTTATTAATTGTTGTCGCTTACATCAGGTAGGGATTTTCCAACGCTGAGATTGTAAATTTTAACGTTGTCTATTTCAGATAACTGCATTTTGTTGTTCTAAGCCAGTAACTACCAATAAAATCTTAATTCACGTAAATGAAAATTCTATTTATTTTCCTCATAATTATTTAAAAACACGCTGCTTCGTTTTGACTTTGACAACTGTCAAATCTCCGCCATGCCATGCGCCTAAGAATGTGACATTAACAGTTGACAGTTCTCTTTAATAAAAAAAACCATAGAAGGGGGTAGTCTTATCATATCAGTGGGGTACATGAAAAAACTATGAAACTGATATGATAAATCTATGGAAAAAACACGATTAAAATACAGTGGGCATGGTAGTGCTAGTGTTGTAACTCTACCGTATAAAACTAAATGCCAGTATCTTTTGTGTTACCATTGCATATAGTAAGACGATGTAGATATAATAATAATACAGATGTCGGACTATTGTCTACGGGTAGAATTTAAGATGTGCAGTTTGTCAATTTATTTACGAAAATCAATGAACGCGCCACAGGTCGTGGCGATGTAAAGATTGTAACTAGCGCCTCTAGTGTCAAAATTGTGAACCTGTCCAAGAACGACACTGAAAATTTTCGTATATAATTTACGTTTTATTTATATAATTTATATTAAATATAAATCAGATTTATGTGGAAATATTTAAGTAACTTGCAAAATTAATCAAATGTTATACTACTTATTACTGAATAAGTAGTATAACATGCTCGACCACCATAAGATGTACTTATTTCAGTTATTAGGCCAGAAGGATTTATTCCAATATTAAACTTCGCTTTATTGTTTTTTATTTTGAGATGACGTCAATATTCTACTTTTTAACCATTTACATTTTTCAATCAGTCTCAGCACAGTCTAATGTTATTCTTATATTTTTGGAATGATTTAGGTAGTTACTACGTATCATTTCAGTATCAGGCCAAGGAATAAGAACTTTGAGTACTCTACTCAGGATGGGGCACATGTTATTAAAATAATATCTGCCTATTTATACCATAGAGCAACACGGGCCACCGGCGGACCGGAGGGGAGTAGCCATACACAGGCGTTCCCCTCTGTCAAAGTATAAGTCCAAATGGTCCTATGCGTACAATAAAACTAGTTGCAAACTCAACTGCTCACCAGACTAAATCTAGTTGCGTTAGTGAATCGACGGCGTCGTAAAAATGCCGAATTGTTCTGTTTTTTGCTGCAAAAAGAGATCTGCCACGTCAAATTTACAAAGACATGGTGTTACCTTTGATATTAAGTAATTTTTAATCACATTATTGCTATTTACTTCTTGTAAACTTAAAAAAACTACAATATTATCAATCGTCTTGTTTCGGATTTGTTTACCAACAAATCCGTGCGTACTCATACAAAACGCGGATCGGTCGAGCGACAGATCCGAGTTTTTTTCCTAGAATTCGCTGTCGCCGAGCGATAGCGTTGTTGCCGGTTTGTTATCGATAAAAATGTAAAAGGTGAAGTCAAATGTGAGATTTTTGGGGTTAAGTTTTCTGATTTAAATAAAAAATACTGAGTGAGAACTTCAACTATATTTATTATTATTATTATTTTATTTATTTATTGCAGATTTCCTAAAGATACAAATTTTAGAGATATATGTAAGACATTTTGTCATAACAGACCAACCTGGATTCCCACAAGAAATATTGCCATTTGCTCAAATCAAGATGAATTAGCAAGATTAATAATGCAAAAAATATACTGATACAATAATTTCTAACTTATTGAAAAAAACAAACCCCCAAAAATGTATGCGTCATATTTATAGAAAATTAATCTATTTTAAAAACCAGTGATAGTTCCGTATCAGTATTTCATCACTGGTTTTTAAATGGGATTAGTAATTTAATTTATTTAAAAAATGAAAATTTTATTTGTTATAATTATCTTGTCTGATTATTGTAGTAGTAGGTAGTTAGGGGTATAATAATTAATTAGGTATAAAAAAGGGTATAATAATTAAAGTCAATAATAATGTCTGTCTTTGAATAAATTTTTAAAGCTAATTTCCTTAACGGAGTTCTTGAATTTATCGATAATGCGTATCGATAATTGTTACAACTGCGGGTGTAAGTGTAGTTGTGTCATATTATTACACTATTACGACAGGGATTGTTTAAATGTGTGTGTGAAATTGTCAGTGTATTTTGCAATTGTCATAGTGTGAGTTTCGTAGTGACATAGAATGTTTTTGTGTGAGAATTTGAGAATGTGTGATTTCCCCCCGCAAAAAATGACAGACAGTTTTGTATCGGTTTATAACGCAATGGCTACTCCCCTCCGTGTTGCTCTATGATTTATACCAAACAAAACACCAATGGCTCCAAATGACATATTTTGTTTAATTTTTAGCATTGTGAAAATAACTCTGTCTCTCACATCAAAGGTAACATTTTCTAATTTCTTGTTTGTTGGGCCATTTAAAGTCAATGCACTTACTTAAAACAAGTCATCAATGTTTCTAAAAGTTCAACTGAATGAATACATGTAAAAGTAAATAAATACATATCACTGCTGAATAAATCTAAGAGGGTTAATTGCATTACAGCTGATCTTTTTTCTTTCTATACAGAAAGAAAATTTATTTGATTCTTAATTTTGTCTTTTGGAAATAAATGAAAACTTATTCCCGAATCTCCGTAAGTCTATTGTATATTGGGGAACGCAACAATATTTTGCGTTTCTGCTTTTATTAAAAACTGGTTTCTGTATGTATTAAGTTTAAAGATAATAAAATGATATTGATCCATTTTATTATCTTTAAACTTAATAACCTCAACTCGAGAACAAAGTGTCGTTCTTAGTCAACTTCTAAATTTCGCCGCTAGAGGCGCGCGAGTAATCTTTGCATCGCCAATATAGCACACAAACATACAAGGAGAAGCAGACCAAATATTAGGTAATGTGAAGCCAAAAAACAGACATACGCAAAATAGCTTAAACGGGGCTGTACTAAGGTCAGCATTAGAACTAAACGACATTATAACGTACCTACACAGATACCGTGTTTTTGGGATAAACAGTCAATATTCATAAATACTAAAAAAAATTTATGTATATGTTACCGGAAATAGATGAATATCCTATGAAATTTATATAATTCCTAAACAAGGTATTTAGAAACCCTATTACATGTGGTTTTAAAAATTATTTAATACGTAGTAGGTACGTATTAAATATTTTTTAATATCCTCATAATATAGAAAATATAGAAAATATTGCTTTTTTAAATAAAACACGTTCAAGGGAGAATAATATTTTTTATTAAGGCACTTGTTATCGTTAAGAATATCAAGTAATAGTCATCTCCATCCCGTTAACTCACTCACAAGACAAGTTCTTTCCGTATCCTGTCCGAGCGAGCGGCATGTTAAATTTTGTTGTACATTCTTAAGCACTTCAAGTAGATGATGATATTCTTTGAAAATAATAGGCAATTCAGTCTTCCGGCTGTTGATGATGTTGATGATGAATAGAATTGTGATAAAATTAATACATAGTAGGTATACAATCGTGGTACCTATTACAAGTATAACAACTACTATTGTAAAAATAAGTCTGTTAGGTTATTCAACTTTGTAGTCACTTTTACTACTAACCGCGTCCGGGTACCCTAAAGTTCACTTCTATTCTTCTATGACTCTTTACAATAGTAAAGAGTCATGTAGTAATAACTACATAACGTATTTTATACATCGCGTGTTATTTTTATCGAGAAAAACATCGGTTTACAGAATGTTCAAAAAAATATATAAAGTCTTCTTTTTATGAGTACTATCTATAAAAAAATATGATCTTCCAAGGCATTGACCCTAGCCCATAATGGGAAGTCAATCCATAATCGGAAAATAACACACAAGTAAAACGCAAATATATACTACCATCCCGTAGATAAAAACCACACACTTTTCCCTATTCCATACCATGTGAATTTAATGGGGAATTTGACTGGATCCACACGGAGACTCTGATGCTTTAACAGTTTTTATACGTTACACGTTTCCAATCAATATTTTCTAACAATAAAGTTTTCGGCGAAACGTGCTTTCTGGGAATAGAAATTTCTATGAGCCATGCTTTCTGCATCCAGTAGTGTCGTACAAACGTGATTCTATATTACGTTCCACACTCATTAGGCATACCTTTTTGGCATTTCATGAAGAATCATGTCCGACCGAGAATCCGCGATAATAGGATTTGAAATATCACTTTTATAGAAGGTAATATCATCCCATTGCACAAAGAACTAGGTAATTGACAAATATAAAGAATAATGAAAACATTAAAAATACCTTTAGCCGTCTGGATTACAAAATTAAGAGAATTACAATTAACAGTAAATAGCACAAAAACTAAGACAACTGGGTATTCCCCACTAGAGCTCCTGGTAAGTAAACAAGGATCTGCCCCAATATTGAATAGGTGCGTTCGATTTAATACTATTTTTAGAGTTATAGACACTATCCGTGCGAATGTTGTTATCAAAGTGACAAAACGATCATCATCTGATTAAAGCCGAATCGGTAGATGGCAGATTAGAAGAGTAAAAAAAATATACGGTCCACAACCATAATATATCAAATGAACCGTGATAGCGAATGTATAAAGTTTATTGAGCCTTTGAGTCAAATAAAACAACCTCAACATAGGGCTCCTGAGATTATTAGTAAAGCATGCTTTCCATGGATCTCCAAGTTTTCTAGGCTCTAAGTCTCTAAGTCTACTAGAACGAGGTCTATACTACTGTGGATTTATTTCATTTATTTCTTTTGTTTACAGAATTGGTTTGGCAGGTGCCCTCATCCCATAGTTTCCAGTTTAGTTTACAAGTTCACAGCATCCCATCCATAGCCTTACCTTTTTTTTACACTAACCAGGAACTGTCCTTGGGTGCGTTTCCTTAGTGCATACTGAGATAGTCGCCAGTTTGTATCCCATTTGTGTACATTTAGATTAAAGCTGTTTACATGGCTTCTGCGTAGTTGGCATCGGCTCCTTGTACGCCAAATGACCCTGTGGTTCTGTGATTGGTACAGACATAATAATAATTAATTAATAATCTATTAGTTATCAAATAACTAATAATTACCAAATAATCAATTTATTATTAAATTACCAATAATGATCAAATATTATATTAATATAAAAATAATTTTATAATAATAAAAATAACTAGGTAATTAATTGTGATGACACGATATTTAATTATGATTAAATAATAAATAATTTTAAATTGAATTATGGTTGTTTACCTAATTAATAATCTATTAGTTATTAAATAAGTAATAATTACCAAATAATCAATTTATTATTAAATTACCAATAATGATCAAATATTATATTAATATAAAAATAATTTTATAATAATAAAAATAACTAGGTAATTAATTGTGATGACACGATAATTAATTATGATTAAATAATAAATAATTTTAAATTGAATTATGGTTGTTTACCTACATTTATTTTTAATGGTAATGAATTGTTACTAACTGACCCGGCAAAAGTCGTCCAACCTATTTTTTTTTAATCTTTTAAACCTACCCGACTATTTAAGACCGAAATTAGTCAAATCGGTTCTGTCATACTGGAATTTTTGCGAGACCAACGAATGGAAATTCATTTTTACTTCTATAGATTATATAAATTAATTTATTTACTTAAAATGTAACGTTGTAATTAAAATTGTAATCATATTCAAATCAACATTGTATCAATAAAAAACAACACGTACAACTTGCATGAAAATAACACGTGCACTTGCTTACAACCTAACGTCACTTATCTTACGTAAGTAAGGTGAGGGGAGCGGGCGGAGCGGAGAGAATTGTTTTTAAACCAAGCAATTTGTGCGAGTTGGGTCATTTTCGTATCGAACACAAACGTGTAAAGATCGTATAAAATACTTTTTTAATTAAGACATCGTTTTACGAGAGCTTTGCGAAGTACGCAAACCACATTACCTGTGTGAAGATATCATTTGGAATCAACGAATAAAATATTGAATTTTGAAGAAAGTGAAACAAAATTATTTATTGTTAAAGAAATTTCACGTGAGTATAGATATTCTACGGTTTCGACGAAATTTATTAATCTAATTACTAGATTACTAAATTTAAAAACTGTGCGCACCTCGTTTGAATAATTCTATCCAAGGTGCAATTTACCACAAATTTCCAATTTGCTATGGCGGGAAAAACAAAGAAGATACAGTTGTCCAAATCAGTGCTGCAAATGAAATTCATGAAAAAAACAAGAGAGCGAATAGAAAAGGAAATGGAAAACATTCAAGATCATCACTGTTTATACTCCAATATAATTACAAACGAAATGAGAAGTGCGTCTTTAAACTTCATATCTGAACCAAGTTTCTTATATTGTGAAACAATGCTTGAAGGCCGGCTTTCTTTTAAGGGTATGAATCCGGAGATTGAGAGGCTTATGGAGCTAGAAAATGCTGATAAAAATAAACAACCAAGTAGTAGTGAGATGGATAAAGATGTATCAGATGATGTTTTTGCAAATAATAAGGAAAAGTTCAATAAAAAGAGACAAAATCAAAATCCTTACAGTGGGGCAATAAGTAACAAAAGAAAAAAGTAAATAATTAATTTGTGACTTCATACTTATGGTTCTAATAATTATGTATGGTATATTTTACATAACAGTGCATTCAAAGAACACTGTACTTAATTTATGTAAATACTCTTTTAATTATTGGAAAGAACTGGTCTTGGGAGTGGTCAATGTTATTGAGGGGAGGCAGATGACTATTACCTGATATTCTTAACCATAACAATTGCCTTAATAAAAATTTTATTTAAAAACCAATCTTTTTTACATTTTCTATAGAGAGGATATTAAAATTATAGAGGATTTAATAATTTTAAAATCTATATTTTTTACAGTTTCTAAATAGGTACTTACTTTCGGAATTTTTATTCAGTATTTATATAAATATTGACTATTTACCCGAAAAATACGCTTATCTTTAGGTAGGTATAATAATAATAATAATGTCCTTTATTTCTAATGCCGACCTTAGTCCGGCCCCGTTTAAGCTATTAATTGCGCTTGTGTGTTTTTGGTTTCACAAATTTTTAGGTAATGTTGGGTTTGCTTATCTATTACTAGGTCTGTGACAGTAATTGACTTTTTTTGCATGTCACATTGAAATTTATTTTTTTATCAAATTGTATAACTGTTAGTTTCTCAAGTGTTAAATAAATAAATAAATCTAAATCATCCAAAAGGTGCAAAGACATCCAGCGTCAGAAAAGCCCACATCTTTTTAGTAAATTTCGTATAGTATATCGATATCGATATTGATTTTAATGACATATCTAGTTTTGTTTATGACAAGACAAAATTGACACTTGTACATTTTGTTTAGAAGGTTATGTTATGAAAGTGTGTGAATTTCGAAGAAAGTGAAACGAATTATTTAAAGAACTTCTAGGCGCGGGCAAATTGTACGGTTGCTACAAATATTAGTACGAAAATTAATTAGTAGCTAACAAATCCGTGCTGTGATAAGGATTTAAAGGAAAGTTTGAAACCTCATTCGACTAAACTGTTTAAGGTGCATTTTTGCTGAAATTTCGAACTTGAAAGAAAATTTAATTGTGATGGCAGGAAAAACTAAAAAGATACAGTTGCCCAAATCGGTGCTGGAAATGAAATTCATGAAAAAAACTAGAGAACGAATAGAAAAAGAAATGGAAAACATGCAAGATCATGGCAGTTTATACTCTAATATAATTACAAATGAAATGAGAAGTGCGTCTGGGAACTTCATATCTGAATCAAGTTTCATATTTTGTGATACAATGCTTGAAGGCCGGCTCTCTTTCAAGGGTATGAATCCGGAGATTGAGAGGCTTATGGAGCTAGAAAATGCTGATAAAAATGAACAACCAAGCAGTGAGATGGTTAAAGACGTATCAGATGAAATTTTGGCAAAGAAAATGGAAAAGTTCAATAAAAAGAGACAAAATCCTGACAGTGAAGCAAGACACAACAAGAGAAAAAAAGTAAATAATATGTGATTATGGTTAATTGTTCATTTTTATACAGACTGTATAATATATAAGTGCATTCAAAGAACACTATACTTAATATAAGTAGATACTCTTTTTATGACATTGTAAATATTATTTCAATATGACTTAACCCATTTGGGACCAAATGTAAACTACACATAATTTAATAAAAAAAACTTCATTAAATCAATGATATGACGCCCACAAACTAATATCAGCAAAAAAAATTCAAAAAATATATTTAGAAGTATTAAAAAAAATGCCGTCCTTGATTGGGGACAACGGTCTCATATGTAGTACTTTTCGAAGTAGTAACTGTTTTCGACACATAAGGTTCTAACGCATTATTTGCATTGATATCACAGTTTTTTTATGACGAACTGCGTGTCGTAACAGATATTAACTAAATCTCTGCGGAAAATGTCTAAATCAATTTGATGTGACGTGCCTATATTTTTTTTGAGGGTAAAAATCATGCATTGCTTTTTCCACCTGGGGGACTCTTACTGGCTAAAAACCAACACATTCCTAATTCTGCTTCAAGCCGAAGCCCCGGTAACCCGCCAGGTTATTCACAGTGGTTGGGCATCTGTCCCACTGAGCCATCTCGATCTAAGGCGGTCTGATCTGCACTTTGAAGCACGCGCGTAACGCCACACACCTTACAGGTACAGGTCTGGTTCTAGGCGGCGATCTGTTCTTGCTACTATGACTGCTTCGCAGAAAGAGATGTTTTCCAGTTCCCCTCGCTCCGCACCACAGCCAGAACCTAAGCTGGACGTGGAAGATTATCGTCGTCGATCACTTCCCTGAAGACACGGCGGTGGGTCAACGAATACAGGGCATAATGCTACCTATCCTCTGGGTGGACTTCGCTGTGACGACACCAGAATACAGCTGGAGGAAGAATGCCCCCTACTGCTGAATTCTGATATCGGATGCGACGTCTGGTACTGTAGGTGGACTTTTGCATCTTCGGTCTTGATGCCCATCAGATTTTAGAAATGAACGCGTAAAGATATGGCGGAATTGGTGATGCTCTTCGTGAATTAGCGTCTGTTGTCACCAAGTATTAGCTATATCTAAGTTTTAGCCTATAGGTGACCTTTATAAATTGGAAAACAAAAATAATCAGGTATAAATGTTTTAAAAATATACTACAGATGTGCCCATTGTCCCCATACGGGACACCATCATTTTTTCTAACTTTCCCCTAAGCGGAATTGAAAGTATAAGGATATTCTTCAATATTGTTTTAATTGACACTATAAGCAAGCAATAATCACAAAAAAGTTTTATAAATCTTCATAATACCGTACTACAAAACGCCTCTGCTTTCGATAATAATTCCCATTTCACTTCCTCTTGATAAAATTGACAATATGACCCCTTTTTTGTAGCAATTTGTCAAAAGTTCAAATAATTTTAGGAAAGTACACTACTCCTCATTATAAATACCCATGAAATGTGAAGATAGCTAAAATAATTAATAACCAGCGGGTAAAAGAAAACCTGTCCCCATATGGGGACGGCGGGCCCAAATGGGTTAAATAGGTATACTCTATTATACATGTGAGTGAAATACCTATCTCTCCTCAAGAACTATGTTTTAAGGTGTATCTGTACACTGAATAAAAATAATAATAACAAAATACCAGTTGTTTTATTTGATACTAACTACTCCTGTGTTGTTTCACTTGTTGCTCGGCCTCTATTAACTAGTGTAATGTTATATAGTCTATCGTCTTATGGGCTGAATTTACTATCCAACACAAAGTAAACTATTCAAATTCACCAGTAGTTCTGGTGATTAGTGTGTTCAAACAAACTCTTCACCTATAGATAATAGTATAAGATATCAAACAAAAAAAATCTATTAAAAGTAGCCGTCTAGATGGAGGCACTTGTTCATCTCTCTTAATGAAGTCTAGATCAAGTCGTACCAAGTTGAAGGTTCCTTACTGCGATTTCTTTATTATTATAGTTAATGTTGTGTGATTTGGACATTCAAAATTTCAAACAGCTCAAACATCGGACCTGTTTAGTCAAGTCAAATATTCCGTGGTGCTTATCGGCTGGGCTTCTCCCAGTTGTGCCTTTAGACTTAAATTATTTTGTCTCTTACATTGAGGGAAGTGGAAACTCGATTTGTTTTCTTCTCTATTATTAATGTCTTCTGATTTATTTCGTTGCGAGATCCAAGACAGTTATTCATGTCCCGCATGCCAGTTCCGACCGTTCCGTGCCGACTTCCAGTGTTTTTATGGTTGTATCTACTGTAGATCCTGGCTTACAAGAGTTGCAGCCGTTTGAGAAGGTAGTGGCAGGCTTGTCCTATATAAAATAAACCTATATAGAACTCCCAAACTGCAGTAATCCTCAATTTCATAAACGTTATTGCTGAGTAAATAGTTATTCATGTATGTAGGTACTTTGTTTGCTTTCCACTATATGTATAACTAGTTTTTTTTTTCTAAGGGGGGAAAATCATCGAATGACTGCTCCCGCCTGGGTGAGGCGGAAGGGAGTGTCAGACTCTTACTGACTAAAAACCACCCCGTTCCTTCTCCTGCACGTCGAGCCGCAGCCCCGGTTACCCGTTAGGTTCTCCGCGACATGTATAACTAGTTAGAGCCCATCTATTTATAACCAGGTTGTTCTCAACAAGGGGAGAGGGGTGCAGGGTCCAGCAATAATCAGAAAGGGCAGGGAGGGGGTAGTAGGAAATATTAGTAATTGGTCACCAGCCTGTAAATTTCCTAATTAAAATTCTGCATAATCAGTCTTCTCACATGGGGAAAAATAAGTATTAATTATCACAATATGGGCTCATGCTCAAGGTATGGTGCATTGATAATGTGTATCTCTGCTTACACACAGCTTAGGGTTTAAGAGGTAGCAAGTTAAGTTGGCAAAGGAAGCGGCTGAGTGAGAGGGAGGCGTCAAGTTCTCTCCCCTCCCGCCGTGAGGCAGCAGCCGATCAGCGACCTCCATAGGATAGGCCTGCGGATGACTGACTGGGGGGAGTCAGTCGTCCGCTGTATAGGTGGGAGTAGGCGTTACAGTGTTAGCATATTGTTCCACATGCACCGTTTGAGGAAGGAAAACAGTCTCCCAGGGCCGCTAACGTGGCGGGACCTGCCGCAATCATAGTTCGTGTGCCGGCCTGCCGGGTGTGGTGATTCTGTAAGGGTATCCGGGCCACGGTCACAGGCAGTGGATCCTCCACACCGCGGTGATTTTAACCGGTAAGAGTACGGCACGCCCATGTCGCTCGTCCGCGTCGCCCCTACGACGTGGGAAACTCATGAGGATTTCCATCGATTTCCAGCAATATAAAAATATATCCATAATCCATCGCATAGAAAAAAGGGGTTAAAAGGAAATAAAAAAAATGTTGATATTATTATACTTTATTGTTAATAAATATTACAAGTGACTGTATTGTATGTATGATTTTTAGTTCTAAATCTGCTTTATGTCAATGGTGAGAAAATATTATGAAGATTAAACAATATTAGTACCTAGCATAGGAAGTTAAATAAGTTGTCAGTTCTGAGTTTTACTTGTCTGACATATAATAAAAGCATGTCAGTCAAGACCTTGTTGCATTAGGTTATGAAGATCTCTGAAGGCAGCTCCAAGGCGCCCCTGGAGCGTTTGTCGTTTGAGCAGAAAAGCCCGTACGTCAAGTAGGAGCCGGTGTATCTGCATACATTTAGAATACCGCTCCTCACGAGGAATGTCTACACCCAACGTACGTACTGGAGCACTTACGTTAGCTCTTACTACAGACGAGAAGTTGCGCACTATCAGCCTCAAGGCATTGCAACCACATTGCATGTATCTAAAAAACAAAAATATTTGTTAGTGTTGGGTGTAGGAAATATAAAAATATGCAGTCTGTAAGTAATACATACGATTCATATTTGCTTTGTAATAATTCGTATATCTTGGGTAGCATTAACAAGCAGATGTCTAAATTCCACAATGATCTGAAACAAAAAATTGTAGTTAACATAAATTTTTTGTTATTAACATTGACATTTTTATATGCAGCGATTGTATCTATAGGTATTACTTACGGTCTATGTGCCATAACATTGAGGATGTCGAGAATCACAGATGTATCCTCGAGAGCGATAACAGATTCTAATGCAGATCTCAGACTTTTATTAACTCGGACGGAATGGAAAATCTGAAAAAAAAAACACGGTATACGATTGCTTACTCGATTAGTGACAAACGTTAATCGACTTGCGACTGCTGAGATGAGTTCAGCATTATTTGGTTTGCAGTAATGGTTTCTCTATAACAGTAATGCGCCTGACATAGTAGGTATAACAATAAACTAATTCTAATATGTAATGGAACAGGGTACATATGAATCATCTGATGGTAAGAATAAAATTAATGTTGCTCAAGGGTAGTTGTAGAAAAGGCAAGGGCACGTCTACTTGTGTATTGTAACTAAACTTAATCTCTATGTAATGTTTATAATTTTTATTTTTTTAATCTTTATAATATCGTTACTTACTTCGTGAATTTGAGCTAGATTACCAACATCAAATTGAATCTAGTTCAGAAATTACCTGTAGAGCTCGTTGTCTGGCGGTGAGCACGGCCATCATGGAGTCGTGACCGCGCATCATCACGCCGAGCACCTCCTGTTCGCTTGGCTCTGCGCCGCCACCTCGCGCCCCTCGCCGTGCATTCCCACCTGCCAGACCGCGCTACAACCACATAGAACTCTATCATGACTATGACCAATCATTAGAAAAAAAAACAAATACTTAAAAAAAATTATATTCGGAAAAGTCACTCATCGGCATCGTAAAAAAAATTGATCATAAATTCTAATTTTAAACATTAGTTACACAACATTCGAAAAGTATTAAAAGAGGCACGTAAGAAACTCACGGGCAAAAATTCATCGAGATCGAGCCCGACGGGTCTGTCGGTGGTGAAAGGCACAAATTCTGGCTCTGGTTCAGCCTCTGGAGCTTCGACACTGCGAGACACCGTTACACTTTCTCTAGCAACAGTCTCTACTCTTCGCCTATAAGCACATTATAAGTATATTAGAATATAATACGCAATTTCATATTAAATCAAAAAAGTTAATTAAAAAGTACCTCGAAGCCTCGGTAGGTGCCCTGGTGAAGGATAACGATCTTGGCCCTAATGTCGGCGGACCTAACGATATTTCACTGTTACTTGGGCGGAGGTTGGTGGTAGCTGAAGTAAAACGGTTATAATTATAATGGGTACAAGTTATATGACAGAATAAATCAAACAAATATTCAATAAGACTTACATAAATCTGTTGTAGACTTTGTTTCTTTGTATGAGTTATGTCGGTTAAGCGAATTTGCTGTGAGCGGGCTGGAGGTATAATCTCTTAATGATTGCGCTGTTGTAAATGCATTATTTTCTTTTGTGTTGTCCATCACCCCTGAGCAAGCAAATAGCATAATAATAGTTGATTGATTAAACAGTTAAACCCACTAATAAGTACATAATAAAGCATCTCCTGATAAATACAATATATAAATAAAACCTTTTTATTTTAGACATTTTCGGCCAGTGTTTCATTCAAATACTATCGTATTTTATTTTAACATAAATATAATTCGAGTGTGTTTGTATAATTGAAATATTGCTTTTTACTACATGCATTCATATGCATGAATATACTTTTATATGATTTTTTGTAATTTTTGTCTGTCTGTTGGTTCTGGCTAATCTTTGAAATGATAACATCACGCCTTTCATCCCCGAAGGGATAGGCAGAGGTGCACATTATGCCACTGACCTGTACAATGTAACACCCACTTTTCACTATTTATGTTATGAGTCCCATGTAATAGGGGGTGAGCCTATTGCCATATACCGAGCACAATTCCTTAAAAACCCAGTATTACTTTGCCCGACCCGGGAATCGAACCCGAGACCCCTTGCCCGGCAGTAGCACTTGCGACCACTCAGCCCGTTGGCAGGCCCTCGTTAAAAGGTAAAAGTATGTTTTTTTGTAATTTTTGTCTGTCTGTCTGTTTGTTCTGGCTAATCTCTGAAATGACTGGACCGATTTTGACGGGACTTTTATTAGCTGATGTACTAAGGAGTAACTTAGGCACATTTTCCACGTGTCGAAGTCGCGCGTACTTCTAGTAATTTTTCAAAAGCAAACTGTGCTATGCTTTTATTCTGTATTTATTTCACGCTCTGCCTGCGTATCAAAGTATGATTAGATAATAACACCAGTGACCCATATTTTAAAATTTAATTAAATAGTATAATAAATATGGTCTATACTTATTAATAAAGCCTGAAGCACAAATGATCAGATAGCAAATGATAAGTAAATCTTACTTGAGAAACTCTCGGTTTTTTTCTCTACAACAGTGTAATGTTCTTTGGTTGATGTTGGTATGCGGGAGTAATGTTCTGATCGCTGTCGTTGGGGCGGGGAGGGCTGTGGCAATGGTCGCGCCAAGGGTACCGGCTCGTCAAGCATCAGGTCGCGAAGACAGGTGTTCACAACCGGTTCTACCTTTTCTATTGGCTCTTGCACTGTAAAACAATAAATTACAATAAAGTTAATTGATGTTTTTATTATGTTTTATTGAGTGAGTATATAAATGTTAGTTTTGTTAGTAAGATATTCCACTAGTATTAAAATTTTTTAAAGCATGTATTTCAAACACAGCAACATGTGCTAACAATGTAGCAATCCAGTGACATAGCTGGCTGCGAACAGCATTGTCCACCCATAATACATTACCTCAGTAAGCAGTTTCCATATTGTTACATACATAAAATTTAGCAAAGTGACTATGATTGGTGTAGTATTATTAAAACTTTGTGACCTTAAAATGTGAGAGTAAAAGCATTGTAATATTGGATGTGTCAGCTTAATTAAATTGTGTTATTATGTTATTTACAACCCCACTTGACCAATGTACCATCTTGTAACATGATACATAAAATTATTTTTGCCTAATATGAATATCACCTGTTATAGAAAAATCTTCCGAAGACAAACTGGTGGCGGGCGGAGGTGTACGTGTTACTAAAATAAAAAAAAAAAACGAATATTGGCCATTTTCATAACAGGGATTTTGATCATATTTTTGTGGATGTGTTGTGGTTTGTGTTATCTACTCACATGCTCTAGAAGGTCGGAATATCTCAGTGTAGTCATTAAAATTGGGTATAACAGCACCTGATTCCTCATCTGCTTCAGTTCCTGATGTAGATTCCTCAGCAGTTTTTTCATCCAGGAGAGATGGTCGGTGCATGACTGTAATTAGTTTAATAAAAATGAGTTTCTATAACAACAAAGAAAATATGAGCAAACAAACACATTTAGCAACCTCCAACCTTCTTTTGGTGGTTTTTCCTTCGAAAAACTTTTGCGAACCGAGTGCCCTTTTTGGAATGGAGAAAGATCCCTGACGACAGGTGGGGACACTGGCGGCGGTCCTCCAAATGGATGGACTTTATTGAGATCAACTACAGATAGAACCACATAAGTAGAATGGAATGATCCAGCTATCTGTAACAGTTACATATAAATAAATGTTTGTAAGAAAATATGTTAATTTTAAAAACATTGGTAGTAATTAAACTTACTAATTGTGTTTGTGCAACAGTAATATCATGAATTTGACCCCAATGTCCATGAACAGTGTCAAAAACTCTGGCTGGTTCCCATCCAACAACATGCAACCCATCATTAGCACAACCAAGCAATGTTGCACCATCATCACTAAACACCATGTGTCTGAATAATGGAAAATAAAATATATTACACAATTTGACTTATTAGTTATTCAGAAAAATTGTGATTTATGATATTATTCTGAAGTATGTCAATAAAAAATGGTCTTCATAACTGTTATGCTTCATTGAATAACTGCATGCTGTTAATGCAAATCATTACTCATATTATTGATATGTATTCGTAATCGTAATCGTAATCAAACAAAATGCAAGAGTCATAACATAAACAAAACCTTGTAATTCACAATGACACAACATACCTGATAGACGTATTATCTTTTTCAAACTTGGATACCAATTGGAACTTTTCCATGTCCCAAAAATTTACAGTTCTATCAGTTCCACAGCTCGCAAGAAGAAATTCATGAGGGTGGAATTTTACACATGTTACTGCTGATGTATGCTCCATAAACTCTTGAAGGACTTTGCCAACACGAACATCCCATACTTTTACTAAACCTGTGAGATTAATACTTAAATAGTAAAGAAGTATGTGTACATTTGGCAATACTATTCAATATTATGGATCATAACATACCATCTTCACAGGCAGATGCAATCCACTGTCCATCAGGACTAAACTGCAGACTGTTGACAGCAAGCCGGTGGCTAGAATAGGTAACAATGCATCCTCTCTTCCTTGTGTCCCACAACTTAACATTGCTATCACAAGAACCTGTTGTTAAATAATCTCCATAAGGATGGAAGTCCATACATTTTATAGCTCCCTTGTGGCCTGTGAAGGTTCTCAATAATTTAGCTGCCTCTAAATCCCATATCTTTAAGGCACCAGTTTGTGATCCTGCACAAACTAAGTCTTCAGAATGCCCAAAACATACACATTCTACAGGAGTTGTATGTCCACTCAAACTCTGTAAATAAACAAAAATCAATATCAAAACACTTAAAATTAATTATATTAATGTTTGATATATGCTTTTAAATTGATTTTACTAACCATAAGGCAACTTTGTCTTCCGATAGCCCACAAGTTTACTTTTTTGTCATCGCCACCAGTCGCCAGCACTTGGTTGGACTTGTGGCCCATCGCCAGGCAGTTGACATTTGCCTTGTGGGCAACGAATTCCTCTGTAAAGTATTATAAAATAAGTGTTAAGTATTTATATGCAACATAAAAACAAAGGTAATACTGTTTTACATATATTTAATACATACGCAGTTTCCATGATCGTCGAACACTCTCCATAGTGATTTTCTTTCATGTGAATTCCATGTACGGAAAATGTAACCTTGTAGTATAGAAATATTCACTCAAATAAAATATGCATACAAATAAACGAGTTACAAATCTTAATTCAGTTTTGGATCATTGCACTATTATAATTTACATATTTATTTTACGTAGTTATTTATTTGTGTATGGTTTGTGGATTTCTTAATTTCTTTCACATCTCATATACCTATGTCATTAATGTCATTTGGTATGTCACCATTCGACGTTGACGTTTTATCCTTAGTTGCAAGCTTTGCAAAAGAAACTTTGAAAATAATACGTCGCTCCGTGAATTCAGTTTTCGAAATTCTTCTGTGAAATTCATCTTTGTAGGTACCTAATATTGTGCGGTATTTTTGTGCGTTTGATTGTATAGTGATAAATTGGTCTAGGGTTATAATTTTGATAACAAACGTTACCTATATCTTTTTTATACCGTTACGAATAATGACTTTATCCACACAGGGGCTGATAGTGGTAGGCAGAAAAATCCTTTCCCCTAAACTTATTATAATAATCCTGCATTAAATAACCCACTGACAATATATTTTGGTGATTCAATTATTTCTAATTCTAAGTGACATTAAGTCCGCCCTAAGACCAAAGAGTTTAATAAGTACAGGGGAACATAAGACAGCCTTGTTAGCCGAGTGGTCACAAAATGCGACTGCCGGGCAAAAGGTCTCTGCTGTGATTCCCGGGCATTCCCGGGTCGGGAAAAGTCGGACGGAGTCTGGACTTGTACCCGGTATATGGCAATAGGCTCGGCCCCTATTACATGGGACTCATATACATAGTGAAAAGTGGGTGTTAGTGTTACATTGTACAGTGGCATTGAGTGCCGTAATGTAAACCCATTTCGGGGATAAAAAGCGTGTTGTTATGTTATTATGTCCGCCATTTTTCAAATCAAAGTCCTTGTCCTGCATTATAACATAACATATTTACATAATTAAAGTTTATTGAAATTGTTGTCAGATGAAATAATTATATTAATTATGTGTAATGTAAGGTTATGTTATTCAAAATATAAATATTTCGTATTGTAGTTTTCTTGATAACTGAAAATGTTCTTAACTTGCAATTTACGTTCATTTTTTAAAACGATATACACTAATGCTAAACATTATCAAATTCGTAATGTACATTATATACAAGGTCAGGAACCTGAACCTAAAATTAGAGAATATTTTTATTTTATTGATCATCAAGGGATGGTAAGTAACCTTTGTACCTACCTACCTGAAAAATATTATAACAATATCGATGAACAATATTCCCAACTGTCATTATCTAATTATTGTTGCAAACGATTTGTCATGCTAGGTAGGTACCTACCAATAATAATTAAACCTTTTAGTAACCTATTTAAGGTATAGGTACTAATTGGTAAAGTACTTAATTTATTTGAACTAATTAAACGTAGTTATGCAACACAGAACTAACCCACAAGTAAAAGCTTGGAATAAAATGCAACCATCATTCATTATTGTATGATTTGATATGACCCATTACCTACTAAACTGGGTAATCAATCAAGAACCAGAACCATAAGAAATTGATAAGTAATTAACAGGGGATATAAAGTGTACCTACAGTATAAATTGAAGACACAAAGGCTAAAATAATACTTTTTGTTTAGTTATTTTTAGATGATTCTAAGATGAAAAACTTCACATCGTGTTTTAAGGAAAAGAAGTTTCTACAGTTTTTTTTCAAGAGGATTCGTCTTAATCATACTGGCAGATATGAAGAAGACTTTCCTTTTATTTCGCTATGTGGCAGAGAAAGAAATTTCATAAGATGTGATGATGTCCCAATTGTTTATACACATGTTCTAAATATTGACAACAATGATTTTCTAAGTTATGGGTATGCAGGAGACTTACTGGTATCAAAATTTATGCCTGACAAAATTTATATGTTGCCCAGTACAGGCAGAGTATATCACCCTACTGATGAAAAATATGGTGGGGTAGCATTAGTAAAATCAAAACTAGCCATTGAATTTAGTAAAAACTTTGAATTTCATAATAGTGAAACAAATGCACCTACACATTTTAAGTGGCAAAATAATACATATGAGCTAGATCAGAATTGGTTTATGGAACAGGTGATGAAACATAAATTGACTATTCGATCTGAATCAGACTAAATACAAGAGTTCTTCTATTTTTCATTTAAGTATTTCAAAAAACTTGAAAAAAATTTAGATTACATGGAAGCAAGGAAGAAAATAACACGATCATTGATAAAATATGATAATTTATTAGGTGGTTAAATTAATAGAACAATACAGATATTATCACAGGATGTTAATTATGGCATATTTATATGAACTTTTATTTGTATATTAACCTTTGTAAATATGTAATTATGTGAATAATAAATATACTTTGTTAGCTATGTTGTTTCTTCTTTAGAAAAGGCTTGAAATGACCCTGGTTGTACCCAAGAAATTCCTTGGTTAATACCTTCATTTGATACAGGGGTTTTCATCATTATATTTTTGACAGTATCATGAACATCTGGATCATACGGCTTAAATGTTATGTAATGCTTATCTTCTGTAGGTGGATCATCATAAACATGGTCTATACTTAAAACAACACATTCTCTTACTTTCTCCAAAAACATTTTCTTATTGCTTTTGTAACTGAAAATAAAACAAAAACATTATTTTTCATAATGAAAACAATATTCATTGAAAGTTAGATAGCAATTAGTTACTTACGCAACAGAAGCTTCAACATTTGCTGGAGCCTTAACATTTAAGTTATGAAATATTGAATACACATATTTTAGAATTTGCCAGATGTGATTCTGTTTTCGGTCCCACTGTGGAAAAACTTCATTCAAATTCAGAACACCAGTATGAGCATCAACTGCTGGGTGATATAAGCTTGATGTGAATGTCAAAATCTGAAATTATTTAAATAATTGAAACAAGTTTTATAATGGATGTGTACAATATCTACATCAATAATTTAATGTAGAAACAAGTAGTCTACAACAATGCACAAAATAATATAACTTACAGGAACTTCTTCATCAGGAAACTTTTCTGGCAATGTTAACGTAAATCTAAAAACACCTCCTTCATAAAATCCAGCTCTCACAAAAATAACTCCGAACCACACTGAAAAATTAAGTACGTTATTTATATTTCAACTTAATTCATATCTATATCTAGTATGTACCTTATGTTTTTACACTTACCGAATGAATTCTCATAAGAAGGAATTACATATATTCCTTGTAGATTCTCCGTTTGCAACATACGACTAAAAAGATAAATAAACACGTAAAATATTGTCCTCAAAATAGAATAAGAATGAAGCGCTTAACAGTTTTAGGTTCTTACTATTCTGCCATAATAACATATTCTTGATGTATCATGGAATATAATTCCCTAGTTTCTTTAACATTATTCTTCATTTCGTCGTTCATATTAAAACAACTTTAAAAAGTAAAAACTCTCTATAATCATATAAAAATGATATTATAGGTACAAAAAAATGTAAACTTAGTTGTCAAATAGAAAGTGAAGTGAATCCCGTCCTACTAGTTTGACGTTTTCTTTCAAAGTGAAGTGAAAGAAAACGTCAAAATGAATTTATTGTACGTGCAACACTGTAGGACTAGTGAGAAGCTACGTAGGAACGTAAAAAAACCGTACAATATGTTAACCGAATAAAAATTTTGTTGGTATAATCTACAAATCTAATAATGTTAGAATTAGTATGCTTTAAAATTACTGTATCAATACTGAACAGTATAAATATCTGAAGAAATGATATTAAAATAATGGTCTGAATGAACAAGGAATTTAAATAAAAATATTTGTTACTTTGTGACATTATGTTTATGTACACAACATAATAGAAAATATGCGGGTTATCGTTAACAGATGGCGCTGAATTGTGAAGCGCGTCTGATAAAAATATTTCTAATAAGACAATACTGAATGTAAATTCCCAGCAACGCTGGGTAACGCACTTGTAACTTCTCTGGTGTTGTGGATTTTTACCCCTGTCCCATAAAAATAAGTTTTGTTCGAATCTTTATAAGATTAGTTTGTAGAACATTCGTTCTATTCATTTATCATTTATCACTTTGGCGACTTCAAACTTAAGAGTTACGAAATTAAGAGTTCCAGCCAGGTTTTTTCACTCACACGACGAAATCCTTTCAATGTTGTACAGCTATTACTTTAATTGAGTCCGAGGACGATCTATCTGACTATCTGGTTTTGTTATACGCAACATGCTAGACTTTAGCAATCCCCTGGCGATCAAACTCATTTACATGGCACACGTTAGATCCAAGCTCGAATCATCTGCAATCATCTGGAACCCCTATGAAAGTACCTACGCCTTGCTTCTGGAGAAAGTCCAAAGGGCATTTCTTAGATTCTTTTACAAAAAACGATTTGGCTATTACCGTAGTAGCCAAATCAAAAGCCAAATAATATACTTACCCAACTAAATTCTTAATAAGCATGCTGAATTTCCAATCTCGTGTCATGCTGAGTTTCCAAAGGACTGTCTGCAAAGAATGCATGAAGTTGTGTGAATGTATGAATGCATAATAGTATTTTATTTTATATTGTACCTATATTTTGCTTATTGGTAGTGGTACCTGTCATAGTTTATACGGTTTTCTTGTTCTTATTGTTTGTTTTATATTTTTCTACCAAGTTTACAATTTGTCATTTGGGCTTTTCTGTTTTTTTTTTATAATTACATATTTGAAATGTATAACGCCTTAGTTTTATGACTGTAAATACTGTAATGTTATACTATTTAATTGAAATAAAAAAATAAATCTATAGTTCTATTTCCCTAAGCATTGGTTGAATAATAAACCCATTTAAATAAAACATGAATAGTTTGTCACTAATCAATATTGATCGAGCTGTGAGCTTCACCTACGATTGACGAGCACCGCCCGCGAGGATGAGCACCTGATCATCGAGGGATAAGCGCCGCGCGCTTTCAATTAGTTGGGATTATCCTGCACGTGGCGCAGGATTACGTACCTACGCTCTGCACTCATGAGATACTTACATATTTAATTTTATTGATTTTTGATTAAAGTAAACTAAAATAGGTACAATGATACTAATTGATGCAGTACAGTGAGTAGGAAGGTGTTTTGTTATAGGTTTGGGATCAGCGTCATCCCTGGACAAAGTAAATGAACATTAAACTTAAATTAGATATAATAGGTAAGCTAGTCGTAAATAAGTAAGTACTTAGTATTAAATAATAGACTGTACCTACGCATAGTTCCCGTGTGCTTTTCTTGCCACCGTCGTGGTATAATATAAAAAAAGTTAATGTTTTCGTGCAACATTAATGTAGTTTGCTTGATATGTAGTTCGTAATGTATGTAGTCCTTGATATACTTATAGTTATCTAAGGGTAGGAAGGACCATTATCGTTAGCTGTCGCGATTATCGGCTGCTCTATAAAATATGTGACATTACATCCGAGCTTTGTGTAACTTTAACATTTAGGTGTAGGTACTTACATAAGAACTTGCCTCGGAAGTAAAGCAGTCCGCTCTTTAAAGACAGGCAAAGCATCAGGACTCGACCTAATCACGGCGGAAATGCTACAAACCGACTCCGCCGTCAAAATTCTGACGTCTTCAACCTCTGTGGACGCCCTCTGCTCCATCTAGGGGACATAGGACCATAAGTCAAGACAGTCAAGTAAGTCAAGACTTACATAAGATTCAAGGGTTTCAACATTTACTTTCAACCCCTTGCCTAAGAAAATAATATTGTGATAATATTTTACGTACATAATTATGTAAGTACATAATAACCTCAAGCCTGTCTTTGTAGGCAGACTACGGCATGCCAAAACGCCAGTTTTCAGTCTTTTCATGCATTTATTGTTTAATTATTACGATAATATCATACGACAAATATCTATATGTAAGCTATTCAGTCTTTAGGTACGTGCCTATTAAGTATTTATTTTTTTATACTATACACAACATTCACCTAATAATCAAAATCTTTGATAGAGACACGACACGACGTTAAATCTATAACGAGTTTTATGACAGCCGTTTTCTTCGTAGAAAACAGACGTTAATTCGAGGAAACATATGGATGAAATGGCAGTACTCTGTTTCAAAGTGCCGCTGCCCGCTGACGTGAAGGCGGCTCGGCGCGGCGGCTATAAAACTTCAACATTTGATGTATCTGCTCTGCAGACCCGTCATTTACGAACGTTGTATAAATAAACAGCTTTATAAATGTTTTACAACTTAACGTAATTAAATTGTTTGACTTACGAAAATAAAGTCTTTATCTGCCAATTTAAAAATTATTATAGTTCCTTCGTAGGTAACCTAATAAACATAACATAATATTACTCGTTTTGATCCCCAAAGGGGTAAGCAGATGCACATATAAAAAATGTAAGTTTACACAAGTTGTTATGTTATGAGTCGCATGTAGTAGGAGTTGAGCTTATTGTGACGCACTGGGCACAATGTCACTCGTCAAACCGTAAGTGAGAGTTTTTTAAATATTTGTAAAGCTTTTGCAAGATTGGGGAATCAAATACTGTTGCGATGTTCGATCAACAAGCCAGTCCAACCGACCAACCTTAAAACTTGGTTGGTCGGTTTGTCTACAGAATATGTCTACCTATGCGCAAACGAGGGACCATTTACTAGATACATTTTTGACGTAAATATGGAAATCGATTAACTCAAAAAATAATTAAGCGTTTGCGATATTTTTTTATTCAAACCCTGAATTGATTTTTGTATTTAAATTCAAGTCCTCATTCGCGTAGGCCTTTCTTTACTTCCTAGTTCCTCCTTTCTAGCTATATCTTACGTTGCCATTCTATATTTTTCTGATCTGTAGGTTTTCGTTGCCGGACCCAAGAAGCCTGACACATTCATGTGCACTCGCGCCACTCAAGTGTGATACGAGACTGGTCGACTCACGTGTCTTTGGGAAGCCCTTTATGTTATGGTTAAGATGGGTATCGCATTCAAACCACTTTCAAGTTATCTCATGCTGTTGTCATGGTGTAGGTATCACCCAGTGGGGTAATGTTCTTACGTTTCTCTGCAGGTTATAAGATGTATCAATGTATGCATTCAGTACCATACTATGCGTTGCTTTTGCGGCACGCTCCGTTGCCGTCGGTAATTTAATTTACATTCTGCAAGCATTTGATAATTCACGAAGATATAACCAGGAGACTAAATAAAGATATGTAAACAGTGTAAATGATTTGACACAGGTTTGCTACTTTAGATGTACCCATTTATTGGTTATTACTGACCAGCATATGTATAAGCATCGCCTACCCAAAGGTGACCCGATGTATGACGATGCTGATTATGTTGAATATCGTGATCAAATAGCCAGCGTAAGCCGGTGCGTAGCGTCGTTCCCACGCTGTGCGCGCGGATTACACGAAATGCCCTTTTGGTGCTTCGCTCCGACACTGACCTGAGCTTTTTGCGCAAAAAGAATGCTCCGATAAATCACGGGTTCATTGTGTGCCGCCTCTGGATAGCGTATTTATGTTTTGTAAAATGCCAAGTTTTTTGTAGTATCGATCAGAGATCATGTCCAATAAAGGAGGTACCTGCTCAATTTTGACGGTCAAGGTGCCGTACGTCACAATAAAACCGTGTGATAACATCAATGGTGTCCTGCGGATAATGCTCAGTTCCGCGTATAATTCTGCAATATCTTCTAGAGTACAATATATCATGATTTGTTAGGTGATACGCTGTCTCAAAACATTTCATAGTGAACGTTATCTGAAAGTCCAAATCATGTTGTTTATCATCAAATGGTATCATATTCCTTAGAAAGTTTATATTTCATTCAATTCTTATGAATGAGTTTGTTAAAAAAGCAAGCTAATGCTCGTTGTTATATGTATTGTTTGTGCACCTACACCTCTTGAAGAGTCTCCTGAATTTTTTTAAAACCCAACTTTTGTAAATCATTTATTATTTTCGGAAAGTGAATAAAAAATATTAGTAAGTACCTACTTATTCATTCTTCCACAGATGTAAAATTAGTAGTTTGTCCGTTGGACTGGATATCGATTGATATTTTTGGCGACTGTAAGCACTAAAGTAGAGGTAGTAGGCTAGCTAAGTAAAAAAATATTTCTGCCCCTAACAAATAAACAAACTGTAAATAACTAAACGGTACGGCTCATTATCATTAAATTTAACATCAACATTTAAAACAAGCATTTAATGTGTGTCGTGTTTAACGAGCATGAATATGAGCATTTTGTTCGTCGGGTAAATTGCGTATAATGAGCGAGGGCGGGGAAGGGCGGAGGTGCGGGCGCCGGCGCAGGTGCACCGCGCGTGCTCCTCACTCGGCACCAGCGCACCAGCAGTGACCGGCATTTGTTCGAAACATGCCACTGAGCTAATTATCTCTCCACTAGCGTGAGGTTTTGGGGGACGGCCACCCTCGCATTGTAATTAAACGATGTCGAAACCTTCCTAGTGCTCACAACAGGTAGTCAATTGTATAATATTATTTATAAATGATAAATAATAATATTTATTTTTATTTTCTGTATATCCTGGATAATGAAAGATATTAGAAGGAAGATACAGATCTTAAAAAAACACATAGGTAGATGTTAATTTTTTTAATTACACTACCTAACCATTAGAAACTATTTTTTTTCTTACGGAACCAAACTTTCGACGATATTACATTGATTTTATAATATATCGTGTGACGTCACTATATATAATATCTAGAAACACATTTTCCACTGAGTGTAGTAACATAACGAACGATAACGACCTCCCATTCCTAAACTTTAATTCGTTTTATCTGCGTATTGTTTTCTTATACAACAGTCCCCTAGCCACTGCACCAAGAGTTTTCTCTTCCAAATCCTTATTTACCTATTTACTTTCGGCACTTTACCTAAATACCAATTAGTTATTCTTAAGTTTTAACTTCTGAAAAAAAAAAATGGTTCTGAAGAAATATGCAAGATGCAAGTACCAGACAGTTAAAGTTCGACGGTTTATTAATCTCCGACTTTACTCGATACTGGCTGTATAGTCGACAACACTGTTTTGCCATTTAAGAAAGAAAAAAATCTGTTTTTAATCTACCTACCAAAAAGTTATTCCTTAGGATGAAATGATTGGTTTAATTTATTAGTCAGTTATTAGGAGATTCAATGAAAAATCAAATAAAATTTCAGTAAACATTTATTTACAATATTATCACAATAATTATAATTTGTTACATACAGGATGTTGGTAATAAATGGATACATTAGATATACCATGTTATAATAAAAGAAGATTATTATTTTTTTCTAATGAGCGTTTCTATTTCCACTTTGGCATTGAGATTTCAAACACGATGAGTCACAGTACACAGACAGTAGCCCCATGCTGGAACGATATTGATGAAGAGAAAAGAGAAGTATATACACCTACTTCAAGACAAAAATTATAAATAAGAAAATATAAACCAACAGATGAATTAAGAAATAACAAACTTAATTTTGCAAGTTCTAGATTCTTTGGATGATAGATCTCCTCTACTCTCTTACTTAAGTTATTAGGATTAAGATGAATAAGCGCCATAGGATGAAATAAATACCGGAGTGGATAGATATTGTCATCTTAAAGTTATACATAAAGGGCAAGTGAACATACGATAAGAACTTTTGTTGGTGTTGGTTAATATTGTGAGCCTGATGAGCTCGAAAAGCAAAAAGATAACGATATAAAACTGTGGACTTCAGGTGCCATGCAAATTAATGTTATTTGGCAGAAAAGACAGAGTGCCCATGGAAGGACCCGTCCCATTTCATCCGAATAAGTGACCAGATTTGTCAATATGGACACTCAACATGCCAACTTAGAATGTTTCGAATCGACGATGTTGATAAAATTACGTTTGAAACTCCGAGTTAATAACATGGTTGGTATTGTTTACAATTTTGTATGTTTTTTCAATTCGTCTTGTCTACTCCAAAGCTATCCATTAATTACTGTTCAACCTGTCGACAAACTAAACAAGAACATTTATCAATAATAATTACAAATAATGAGAACAAAATATATCAATTGCTAACGACTTCATCAATTAGAATACATTTTACATACAGAATTTTAATTTGATTAAGATTGCTATTCTAGACGTAGGTACAGTTCTTAGGCATGTTTTACGATATTGACTACTACAAACAAATAACTATGATAATACTTATTTGAAGTTAGCAAGGTAGGTTATATAGAATTAAGCGAGTATTGTTAACAAACTATATCTTGGACCTATTAGGAATTCTAATGAAGTTATTCTAGTGATTTACCAGATAACCTAGGTACTGTATTGGGTCGTACTACTGTTGCTTACTTTGCCAGTTTGGTCATATGATTATTAATAAAAAGGATACATATTATTGTATGTAACATTTGAGCGGTTATTGGTTTTGCACAGAGCACGTCGGTTCGTCCTAGATATAAATATCTACATTTTCTTACAACTAACGACTAAACTAACATTGCATGTATCGCCAATGGTTAATTATGACGATTTGTTAATTAATAGATACTACAAAATTAATAAATGCTTGCTAAAAGCCATAACTTTAACATAATATGAAGATTTGTCATCTAACTTTTATACTTTATAGTATTTAAATTATTGATTTTAAAGACAATATACGCTCTCTTGTATTTTCTGCTGAAATAGACCGGTTACCGTCTTCCTGATGTTTTTACGATACTTTTATGGTACTTATAAGATATACTTATTGTTATGAAGTATTGCAGATCATGTAATTTATGAAATGAGAGCGCCCTGTGAGTGAGGTTTGATGTGTACCGGGTGCGGCGGGTGCGGGTGAGCTGGATGCGCGGCGTGCGGCGCCTGGCGCGGCTGGTGGCAGCGCTGGTGCACGTGCGAGTGCGCTCGTAACTCCTCCCCGTGCTCGCGGTATGCACGCTGCTTATCTTCAAAATCCCGCAGCCTCTGATTGTACCTCTCAATTTGATCACGCAATGCAGCGTCCTCAATGGCTGCTCGTTCCTCGTCAATTCCAAACAGCCTACTCCATCGAGTCGCTCCAAATCAATCCAGCCTCGCCACCTCACGCACACGCCATTCATAATGAATCGGGATACGATGTGGGCCTGTCGACAAAAACGTACTTTTGAAAATGATGAACAAAAAAGATAAACAAAAACTTCCACACTGTTGGTGGCAAAGTTGAAATGCATTTATCAGTCACATTTGGCTTAGAATCGGAACTGATCCTTAAAAAAACACAGGTAGAAAGTGTCCATTCCGGACTATCGTGTAAAATCTATGGATAGAGGCTAGCAGTTTTTGTTGATGACTCATTTAATAGGTAGGTACTACGGAAAAAGATCATTTTTGGAAACTTCAGGGTTTTTACACAGAATTAATATTGCATAAAAATACTTATATTTTATTGTATGACCAAAAATTAACTGATGTTTAATTTAAAACAAGAAAATACCCGATTGTAAGTTTTGGTAACAAAGCAGAAGGACAAAACGACATAAGGCAGACGTGAGTCGATCCAGATCGCGTGCTGCCTTTGTTCCGGCTGCCGCATCCGCTTCCAACAAACCTTTAATTGTGCCACACATTCGACAAGGATGCAATTTTACTAATAACTACTTAGCTTTAGGCTCCTTTAAACTTGTATATTGAACTCCGATGCCTGCCGTATGTTTAAACTTAACATTATTCTTAACTTAACAATGTTGTTACTGAAAAAAACTAAACCTCTGACGAAACAAACATACCTACCTACTCGCTACCGACTGTATGTCTACTTACCTACATATTCAATTATTTCTAAAAATATCCATCAAGTATATTATTATTTTAGTACTTATACGTTGTATACGAATAGGCCTGGTATTAATTTATCAGTTCAGTGACATGTTCATATTGAAATTAATCAGGATAAGGATCCCAGTGCAGTGACGCTTCGTGGCGGCCATGTTGGCTGGGCGGGTGCGACGAACGGCGTCGGGACGCCCACCAATCCCAGCGCTTTTCCAATATTGATTTCAGGGGAAATTATTTTCTCCCTTTCCCAACGCGCCAAGTTTGTTACTACAGTTTTATACTTAATATTTCCCTCGTGTCAAGTGCGTGGGGTTATTAAAGAGGGGGTTTGTTACAGGCAAATCTCCAGGGAAACAAAAGCTAATATAGATATCTAGTTTCATAAAAATGCTCAGCAAGTTCAATAAAATATTGGCCATGATATTTTAAATGAAATAAATTTGGGAGTGGTTGTCGATTCCCTTTATTAACTAAAATTAGGTAACATGAATATATTAGCTAAATATATATTTTTTTTCTATCGTGGTAGGTACTAATTAAGTATCGTCGTTAATAAAGTTAACAAATCTTATTACAATTATTATCATCGATAAGTTATGTGGCATGTGTGAAGCTTGGCATGACCAGAGAAAAATGAACATAATTTATCAATCATTTTAAATCTACGAATTGAATATGAAATCTACGAGTGTAGTTTGGAGTATGCTATAATAAAACATCGTTACAAGAAGAGGGCTCGTGCACACTCAAGCGCTTTGTTAAATGAACCGAGTGTAAATAAATATAAGTATTCATACTACATCACAGCAGGCGGGCTTGACTGCGAGGGGGCTAAATTCAATAAAGTTTGCACCAAATGCGCTCCTCTTGAAATGTTAGTAGGTAAATCAGGTACCTATTACCTACATACCTAAAATACTAAAAGTTTTGCACTCAATAGTTAGGTAGGTTAAGTAGCTTTCCTTTTTAATCATAATCAGAAATTCCAAAACTTAAAATTTTCATATTCATAGAAATTCATCACAATAAGAAAATTAATGCCCCAATACCTACCACAGATTATATAGCGTATCAAATGTTTTCTTTTTTGTTTTCATACACAAAAGAATCGATAAAGGGGTAAGTAAACGCCTAATAATATAAATCCACGTGTTTTAATAACAAAAACAAGTGCAATGTAACATTAATTTAAAAATTGAATTAGACAACAAATTGCTACCAGCCCTAGCTAAGCAGGTCATGGTGACACATGCGACAGTGAAACGATTGACTACTACTTTATGATCCAGAGTTTAAACTACCGCATATTAGAACACGTCCTATCTACATTAGTAAGTAGCCATTTCTTTTAAAGGAATCTATAATGATGATATTAGCTCCTAAATGAATTCGTCGTCATGTCTCATCATCACGCACACATGACATTAGAAGGACCAGAATTATTCGTTGAAGAAAAGATGTCTTTTACTCAAGAGTGTATTAAGAAGTGGCTGAGCGTGACCGACGCGTTACATGCGGTGTTACGCCTTTATATTTTTGTCATTAGCAGCTTCAAAATTTATGTCTTAATTTTAGTTATGGAGAATGGGCCGGAAACTCGGAGCGCTGATGACGCGCGTCCGAATAGAAAGACGGTTGACGAATGAGGCTATCAAGCATTAGCCACTCATACATTGGTACAAGCCGACGTAATAACTATGATTCATGCAGCTTTATTGTGTTGTTGTATTATAAAATAACTGTGCGTGCCTCGATCACTAATTGAGGTTATTATTTTCCGGTATAATTATTCGTATGTATATGTTGACAATGTCCTAATAACACCTAAGTCTACGAAGCCTTACGCTTTCACCCTTCTTCCAGATGTAATTAAGTACCCCCATTAGGGACACGGTCCTGGATACTAGGATACTAAGCCATTTAAAACAAAAATATTACCTAGCTTAGTATGACAGTAATAAAATACATTTCCCGAAGAAATATTTGATGACCTATACCTACCAATGAAACACATTTTATTTTAAACTTGTGCAATAATTAATGAAACAGGGTACATATCCCAAAGAAAATGGTCATTAAGTTTTGTGGAGTATCAATAATTCCACATTCTGTTACTTGGTAACGATATCATTATTTTTAAGTAAGAGTTGAATGATCAAAATTGATGTTTCATTGATTATTCATCTCATAAGTAGTTTATCTGATCATCGTCGTCTGCCTAGTATAATATTTATCTAATTCATCGATTAATACATAAATATACAGATATTGACCTACTTCTGTTATTAAACCATGAATTCATATCTTTTTATTTATTAGGGTATAGGTTAGGTCGTATATGAAGGTTTGGTTATAATAACGTACCCAATAGATGAAACGTAAATATGAAATACTTATGATATAAATGAATTGCGAATTATATATAGTGTTTATTTCATGGGTACCTATGTAGATTAAAGGTAGGTAATATTTATTTATTCTAGACGCTTTCTAAACTAACATGTGTAATGTAACTGCCGCCATCTAATCTAGTTCAATCTAGTCTAAATTGTTGTTAAGCAATATCTATTGGAGCCAAGTAACTGTAGGCTTCAATTCTGTAAAGAAAAAGAGCCCTGTAAAATGTAAAATTAAACATAATTTTCTAAACTATTTTATATTTTTTACTACCCCAAGGCTAAGTGGGAGATGCCTAAAAGATATTAATTTTGTTTATGTACTTACGTTTTGTGCATGTGTAGGTAATAATTAAAAATATACTTATAACACACCTCAATAGGTATATGGGTACTTTTCTTATTTTACTTTATGTAGTCTAATTATCTGTTTGTAATATGAACAGCACAAATTGATTCTGTTATTACTACTATGATACCTTTCACTTCAAAAGGTGAATTGTGCGCGTAACTTAACGACACGCCTTTGCCGTTTGGAAAATCCATGGAAAAAACCGTGCCAGCCTGTACGCGATTACTTTAAATATAATCCCAAGATTTAGAATGTTCATAGGAATAAAATAATCTTGAACATTATTGATTAATCCTACTTTAAACTGTCAAACACCAAGCGGTCACCGGTGACCGCGACCTATTGTTCTTTGATTGTGTCTATAAAACCGGTACTCGACGAGTTAATGCCGAAATATATATTTTTTTTATAACGAACTACGTGTATTCGAACTACAACTTGTATGTGATACTGATAACGTTTGTTTAAAAGGAAAATACTGGCATTAATGTCTAAAAGGAAGGCAATGTGCGTATTTAATTACCTTGCCGCTCTCTTTTTGGAAGTCGCAGCCTCGGTTGTTGTAGGGCGAGTGGTCGAACACCAGCTGTAAGTTGGTGCCAGTGGCGGTGAACGCGATCTCTGTGTGTCCTTCGCGGCAACCGCTTTGGAACCGCATCTGGCGTTCCTCCGGAGGCCTGTCGCGGTACCCTGTGTACCTCACCTGACACCACGTAAATATCAATTAGCTTTAATTATAATAAACATCATCATGCTTTATTTAGGGTACTTACGTAAATGTTACCAGTTTAGTTGTGGCGATGGGTTATGTGACTATTGAAATACAACGATATTTTTGTTTTCGTTTGAGGTCTATATGAGTGATTTTTTAATACAATAAAACCATTAACTACGAATAAAGTACTATTAAAGGAAAATAATACCAAGAACAATAAAATGTTTCCAAACGGATGACTTATTAATTTAATGTAATTTTCCTGTTAGCAAACGATTAAAATTATGCCAAATGGCCATTAACATTTGTATAATATTCTATTACTAGTGAGCATTATTTAAACGATATTAAAATTGTATTTTAATGACTGCATTACGTACCTCACTTTCTCTGCTCAGTCTTTTAAAGAGATCGTCGGATTCAAATTTGGCTTTTTGATCAGGAACTACCCGTGGCATTTTAAAGATGAACCTTGGTTTAGGCTGTTCGTACAGTCCAATGGAATCGAAAGGCAACATGCCTGCCAAAGCAGCTGGATCACTCATGGCGTGCATTACACGACTATTAGAAATGCACTAGTATATTATGTTCACCATCACAGCCGAGTTCGAACGCGCACACCCGCACTGACTCAGCGACACTGATGATTCAAATGGTTGTGCCACGCTAAAGTAGTGTCCGTGCGACACGGCTACCTGCCACTGCGACAACCGCTTACTGAATGAGCGCTCGCATAAAGGTTCAGGGAGAATTTCCACCAGGGCGGAGTCTTTGCCTGGTGGGGAGCAATGGGCCAATGACGGGGCCCTGCGGCACCGCCCGACGCCTTCTCTACGCGCTTTCGGGAGCTTTCAAGCGAAAAGAGGGTTTTCCCCCTCGAAACTGTTCAAAATAAATACTGTAAACGACAAAACACATGAATTTATAATGATGGGCATTATCCTCTGTCGACGTTTGAAGTGTTTTATGTATTTGTATCAGATCTTTTGTTCCTTTGTAACGAGATAAATGTACGTTATATACAGTGTTATAAAAGGGGAGTAGGATCCCAGGATGCGATAGAGCGCGTGAAACGTGATATTTTTGTAAGGCTGATGAAAGCTGCATTTATTGGACGCCCAGTAGCCTAATTGTATTCCATCATGGCACACATTCAATGAAAGGGTCTCAATGTACCTACTAATTATTATTACTAGTAACACATACTTGTTATTGATATGGCGTCTGAACTCGACATTACTTCGTATCAAGTCGTGTACCTAGTTAAGCTTAGTTGCCCGATCGGGCGAACTCGTGAACAAGGTCAAATCTTGATTTGATTGATTTTTTATTTAAGTTTATTAAATAAAATCGGTTCCTAATGAGAATTATCTTAAGTATGAGGAGTACTAGTAAGTACCTACTAATCCAGTAGATTTAGGTAAAGTGTTTGTTCACCAGCCTAATTAGTGCCTTTTAGGGAAGTGTTCTCGAATTTTATCAGCATATAATAATAAAGTCCAGAATATCTTATTCCCAGTCCCAGAATTCAATTCTAAAAGGGATTTAAATCTATTTGGAGAAAATCCCTACATAAATAATACGAGTATGTAATTTGTAATATAGGTATGTTTTACCTATACGTAAATGAATTATTTCCGTTTGAATAGGTATATTTTATTAGTCCCATCAGTTTGATTTATTTATCAGGATGTAGGTGTATTTTTTAGAAGTATCCATCTATGTATCTAATAGATACCAACCATATTTTTCTAAGATAACCAGAATTTGTGCTCATAATTGCCCAAATTATGTTTCAGATTAACCATATCTTTGAAATACTGTCTAAACAAAAAAACATAAACTAATTCTTACTTTTCTTATTTACATAGTTCATCGTCTCAGTTATTACCTGTGTAGATTTATCTATTTTTATCAAACACAAACATTACCAGAATCCTGAATCTAAGACCGCACTTATCCGATTATTGTTTTTTAAGATTGTACTGTTCATATAGTGGTGGATTAGACAAATATAGCGTCAATTACCTGATACAGATCTAAACATTTGGACAGAAGTGAAACGTCTCAATGATCGCAGACAGGCGAACCGTTTAATGTGTCTGTTTTGGTAACAAAGGGCGGTAAGCCTTGTGAAATGTATCGAGTGCCGTCGAAAGCGTCCAACTACGATCGACAATCGATGATAAACGTTAGCTAAGTGTTGAATTGTTACTGCTTTTTATATTGAAACTGTTTTTGTTGTCGCATTGCTTAAGCACTTAAGAAACTTCTTAAATTTCAACGGAAAACGATTGTATTTTTGATGGAAGTGAGATATAATTATATAGATACTTACTGGAGGTGGCACCTATGTCTTATTATTACACACATTTAAAAATATGTAGCCCTCATCACAGTCTAGTTTCTAATTCAATTTACCTATCTAAAGCTACATATTGACTCCTATCTTCTGTGCGTTCCACAACCTACAGCAGTGAGATAAACTAAAAGTAAGTATTCAATAATGAATGTAATCTCTGATAAATCTTTACTTGATACTCGTTATAGACGTGAATAACTAACTACAAATTGCTGTAATAAACATGCCAGAAATATTTGAATTGTCACGTATCTCTTTATTGCGAAGGGATGGCCACGTGGCGGGCGCTACAACGTTTGATGTTTGTGCAAGCTCTCGTGTGGAGCTTTGACGAAACTCGGAACAATCCTCCCACGAGTCACTAAAATTCATAACAAGAATTTTTTATAAGAGGGTTCAATTCAATATTCAATACTTTGTAGTTTTTACTGTAGGTTTACTTTACATATTACATTATTAAAAAGACGAGAGTTTAGTTCTGTGAAATGAATGATTCATTAATTCAATTGCTGAATTGAAAATCTGAATAATAAAGCGAACTATATTTTACAGATTTTAAATTCAGCAGTGAATCCAGGTGATCCATCAACACAACGAGGACACAACGAGGCCTGAAATGTATACCTAATACTTTCCTACACAGATTTTATTTCTATTTCCAGCTTTACTTCTGCCTTTGCACCGTACTACCTGGTCTGTTCTGGGTCTGGCCTGTAGTGAATATAACTTCTACGTATCAGTGTAGGCAGTATCATCCTTACCATAAGGGCACTCGAGGCTTGTGCCCAGGGACCTCATCCTCGGGGTGCCCCGAAGAACCGAAAATTTCTATAACAGACATAGCCGCTGCACATTGCGCGGCAATAGGCTACCCCGCAGTAGCCGCTGTAGCCGGTTCGATTCCCGCACGGAGCGAATCTCTGTGTGACTGTGATCCACAAATTGTTGTTTCGGCTGTAGTAGGTGTCATGTGCATGTGAACATATATGTTTGTAAATGCACCCACGATGCTCCTGTATCGGATTTTCTCCTCAAAATCCTAGTATAGTGCAACGTTAAAACAAAAGAAACATTCTACAAGGGCCCCAAATTATTGTGTGCCGCAACAAAGAAACATCAAATACATGACAGCGTACCGCACGCGGTAGTAGCAATATCGCGTCACACGCATGGTTGCATCTATTACACAGACAACAGTGAAGACGCGATAAGCAAACTAATCAGGAAGGCGGCTGATGAGGGTGAGCAAGGTATTAAGGACTACAACCTGAAAATGGCCATCAAACACAGGGACGCGGCAGTCATGGGTGCTCTCTTGGGCGGGGAGTGTTGCTTGTGATGGAACGAATGCAACATGAGGAAATGTGTGTGCAGAAACATGTAGAAATAGAATATGACCAATTGACTTTGGACTATTGTACGCTTTATTGGAATCGGCCCATGTGGCAAGGGTTGAGGCGTCATGCACACATAAATGTCCTACAGTCGGTGGCGCTGTGTGTTGGGTTGTTCCGTTCCAATAAAAAGGTTGACCGACAATTGCTGACACACACGTCATATTCGTGAACGGGTGCCTTCTGCTGGGTCAGGTCGGCTCTCCCATCTTGTTGGTGGGCTGGTTTCATAAAGCCTTTGAAATAGAAATAAATAAATAGTGCCTAATTATTATGTAACCTATACTTTTGCTAATAATTATAGATGTAGTTAATTATAGTATGTAACTAGGTTCCCTCTTTACTTTATAAAAATTGACTAGATGTATTATAATTAAAAAACTGTATGACAAGGGCACGGACCTAGAGTCCGTGGAGAAATAATCTACAATATTAAAAAAAAATAAAAAATTATTGTGTGCCCAAGGACCGCGCAGTTTAAGGGATATCCATAGGGCTACTGTGGATCACGAAATGTCAGTAGATTTTCTGTTAAAAAAATCGTTTTGCTACTAAATTCTACTTTCCAAATATAATCCAAGGAAAAATTAAACGGTGATAAAGTTAACCTATACTGTTGCGTGCTGTCCAACGTGCCGTAGGTACAACCTATGATATTAATTTGAATTTCTCACCTACCGCCTGACGCAGGTCCTCACCGGACATGGAAGTTTCGGTAGGTACCTGTGTGTGATGGGGCGGGAGGAAACGTCCGGGTGTCATCACTGCGAGGACCGCCCTGAGGACACGGTGGAACACACTGTAGCGGAATGCCGTACGTGGGCTGAGCACCGCCGCGCCCTCAGGGAAGTGATCGGCGATGGCGACCTCTCGCGTCCGGGCCTAGTGCAGGCCATGATGCGGAGCGAGGGGGACTGGGATGCCGTCTCCTCCTTTAGCGAAGCAGTCATGCTAGCTAAGGAGGAGGTGGGACGCGTGGGGCCCAACTGGGCCGATGCCGATTCGGTGTCGCGGAGAACCTAACGGGTAACCGGGGCTCCGGCTCGACGTGCAGGGGAAGGAACGGGGTGGTTTTTAGTCAGTAAGAGTCTGACACCTCCCGCCTCACCTAGGCGGGAGCAGTCATTCGATGATTTTCCACGCTTAAAAAAAAAGATATTTGAATGCTTTTATTTATTTATTTATTTATTTATTTATTTATCAAGGACAACAAACAGCAGTATATTAAATATAACACAGGTGAGTAAAATAATAGATTTAACAAATACACTCCTCACGACGTTGCCACGGATTACCATAAATGTACTTAGCAAACACAATGGGGCAAACTTGAAGCTACAAACTATACAAACATAGGATAAATTTAAATTACAGAATTACTTTTTACCTGTACCTATCCATTATATATTTTTACCTACCTATATATTATATACATATATTTTGTGCACTATATGAATGTGAAACACAAATAACATGTTAAAAAAATAAAATTAAAAAGTCTGGAGTAATTACATTAAGGATCAGAGTATTATACCTCTAGTGGTCGTTCTTTTAAAATGTTAATGATTCGTTGTCGAAAAGTGTTCTTGCTTAGAAATAAGATATCAATTGATGCAAACCTTTTATTATAAGTGTCAACCAACCGATGCATGGGTGAGCGAGCACCTGAATTGGTATGACGGAGATTAGTTGCAAACATGTTCCGTGAACGCACTTCTCTGCTGTGTACTGAGCGAGGGACCAGGTAGCACAAACCATTCACAAGATCAGAACAGTCAAAGTTGTTGCGGCATATACT